ACTCAAATTTGAGAAAACGCATGAAAATGCATTTTCCAGAATTACTGATATCAACATTTAACTCAAACATAGTAGACAATTTAAGTTTAGTAGATAGGTTGCTTGAGTTGTTTTGGGTTTTTGATTTCAGAAATGCAGTTGAGTTGGAAATTCAGCTGTTTCAAATTGTCAAGCTCAGTTTGAAATTTGAGTACAAACTTAAGTTTGTTTCGAGAAATCAGGACCTGGTTACTGGGGAACTATGGACTGAGGTTTCCAATGACAACAGAGCTCGTGGAATTGATAAGTCTGTGATAGGCATTTAGGAGTTGGAAGGCATGAATGACCCTTTTAGGGATAGCAACTTCTATGTTTGTAAGGATGTTTAGGGGGCTACTACTTACCCCTTCATCCTTAGCTTTCTCAGTATATTTGTCTATGCATATATATCCCATCTCCCCATGAATATTTATTACTTGAAGGAAAACCAAGTTCTATGGATAGTCAACTTCTTTATTGCAATGAATGCGACATTTTGGTGTAGGTACCAACACTGTTATCAAGCAAGCAATGACGTTATCATCTATACAACTTCTAAAATGCCTCTCAAAGAAATTATGTATTACTTGCATGTTGAAGAAACCACCATGTAATCACCAAACTCTGTGATGATGTGTTTAACACCAAATACCCTGCTTATGTACTGCAGGTAGACGTTTTTCACTAAACTCTCAACATCCCATTGCATCAGTCTAACAAACCCTAGTAGAAGGTTGCGTCAGATAGCCTTTTGAACTGACCAATCAGAACACAGCTTTCAAAATCGTGAAAGTTAACATTCGCTCATACCATTTGAACTTTTACCTTGAAAACGTTTGCACTCGAATGATTCCGATTGCTGTTTTCCGTACGATCGCTTCTGAGTGATACACATGGAGGACGCCACTATTCACAACAGTGAGTAAACAGTCGCTGAAAATAGCGTTTTTGTCAATATTCCAGGATGTCATCTTGAGGAAATGTGAGCTAATAGTAACGATGTCATCAGAAAACCCTAAACGTATATACTGCAGTCAAATATATGTGTTTTATGCAGATTTTCATTTGTTGAGAGATCAGTGGCAGCGACCATGGAAGAGAAAATCCAAAAACAATTTGTAAGTCCCACCGATCCCTAAATAGTAGCTGTTGTCTGATTGGTTAAGTCCGTTCGGCCATCTCACGTTTGATTGGACGGTCGTAGGCCATTCAAAGGTTAGCTGACGCGACCTTCTACTAAGGTTTGACAGACTAGTATAGCAGTGTATAAATAATACTGAGCCTAAGTTTACCTAGACTGCCCTTTGCATATTCAATGCCATTGCATGTAGATATGGCAGACCACTGTGAGGAGCTCATGCAAGTTCACAATAAACACCAGCAACCTCGTCATTAGGCTGACAGCACATGGCAATGTTTTCAAAATTTCACAAATTGCATCTGAAGGTATTGTGACGTCTTTGACGCCCCGTGTTGCAAGGCCCTATTTACGAACTGCAATGTTACAACAGTTGTAAGGGTGTTATTCTGTTCAACTCACTTGAGTTTTCCCATAGATCGCATAGATGTCTGTCTTTTTGTACACAACAGTGAAATATATAAAACATGCAAACAGCAAGTAATATACAGAATAATAAGCTCGACTCAGTGTAGTTCCATGTTTCTGAAACTTGTGAATAGTTCGCCTTTTGCTCAACAGATTCCAGAAATATTCACTCATTTCACAAAATTGTTACAGGAACGTTTTTAGTATTCTATATGGATGCATTAAATAGACATCATTACCAACAATAAAGAAGTTGTTATCCAAAACATTGTCATTTCTGTAACATATCAGTCTGTCATGATGAAAATAATATTATGGAACAGTTTTACAAGACCAGTTTGATTGATAACTATGACAAACATTCAGTATATGTGACTTCAGCAGGTTACATTCAGCAGACCAACAGAAACACTACACACAGGCTCTGGGCACCATTGCCAGGGAACCAACTAGGTGGGCTAATTTGATCAACTACGGTATTGATGTATATGTGACTTCAGCAGGTTACAGTCAAAGTTGTTCACTAACCAAGAGAACCGCCACTCGATGTGGCATGTACTTGGGGGGGGGGAAGATTTGGTCCACTGCAGTAAGGATATATGTGGGGCTTAAGCAGATTACAAAGTTTATTCTTATCAACGTATATCAAATTCTATTATATATCAAATTGTAAACATTTTTCCATTTCTTTATAACACCATCATAAAAAATGTAAATATATCAAATAGAAAACATTCTTTGGAAAAGGTTATGGCCATTTGTTTGATCAGGTATACAAGAGTGGAGATATACCACTGTAAAAGTATTACATCTAACATGGTATTTTGAAACACGTTTCTAACCAGCATGGTCAAGATGCCTGTCTCTCCTGAAACTCCCACGAAGCTCCCTTTATACATGCACGTTGTAACATGCAGCTGTCCAGCTAACTGACCTTTGAGACCTTAACGTAAGTTGTCGACAATCATGTTAGCAAGAGTGTTCAAATGACTTGTAACACAGTTGGTGAATCTGTGAACAATCACTTTGATTACACAATGCCGTTTAGAAAGTGGTCAAATGTAACATATGTTATATTTGGGATTACACTTTCTTAGTAAGTTTGGGTTCGAATCCCGGATGGGACTCAACCCAACAAAAGTACAAGAATCTATACTTCACTAAGAAAGTGTAATCCCAAATATATCATATGTTAAGGAGCAATCACTTGATAGGAATTATTTAGAGTTTCTAACCTCACATGTTACTGGTATCGGTAAGCATCCTCTCCTGTTCCTATCATGAGGTCCTTCACTTAGGATGACACTTCAGTAAAGTACATGTGTAGAAGCAGCCACGAGAGAAGCAAGGATCCAACAATGGAAGCAACTGAGATGATTGTTGGCACTATACACTTTATAGCAATACCCTATTTCGCTTAAAGGATACAAAAAAATTAATACATGAAAAAATTACTTTAAAAATGGCTATATATACTTTATAGCAATAACGTACTTTTCTTAAAAGTATACAAAAAATTATACATGAATAATTATTTGAAAGATTGAAACATCTCACTGCAGTAAATGACTACAAAACAACAAAACAACACAGTCCTGAATTACTTGAACAAAGATTGCTACATACTGTAAAAAAATAATCCTATTTTATCCTTCAAGGTCACTATACAAGACAGAAACCAAGGAATCTACATATGAAGTATACTACTCAAAGGAAATCAAGGAACACATGATTGTTCACTTGGCTACAGTTCAAATGTTAGGCTGTGATCTTCCTAAACTCTGTATAGCACATTTGTATTGATACAAAAGATGTCCTTATATTTGGCCACTGTGCTGGTAAGGACTACATCACAAACTAAGATTGTTTTGGTACATGTACATGAACACAATATCTGAGACTCATTTTGTGTCAGAGATGACCATGATGCACCCACTCTTTGGTGAATCCTTAAAGTTGTAATGATTGTAGTTGCTTGTATCTCTCACTAGGACTAAGAAATACAAAATCATATCGACAGATAATACAATGCATATCAATATGGTATCACATGTGGGGAATTACAGTAAACAATTCCACTGACATCATCACAATACAGCAGTAAACAACAACAACTATGTAAACAACAATCTCCTGATACACAACATCACACCGTCATGTCACGTGGACGTGACTGAGCACATGTTATACTATCTACATATATATACATGCTATACACTATGGTGTAAACTGAAGGAATGATATGAAACAAGAACCCTAATTTGTATTATTTCTAACTTTCCAAGGCAGGACCAACAATTTCCATAATTTTATTAATTTAGAAAACGTGTTGAAGAATGTTCAAAGGATACCGAAAACATCCAAAAATATGTTAGTAACTGTTGCGTTTACCTTTTCTGTTTGCTGTTTAATACGGCACTCAGAAATATTCCAGTTGTGATGGCAGCCTGCAAGTAACCCTGTCTGGATCAGACAATCCAGTGATTGATATAGTGACCCGCAATCAACCAAGTCATCGTGCCTGACTGCCTGTGCCCCGGTGTCTCGGGTCACATCTGCTTACAACCAGAGTACATTACTAGAGATCTATTCTACATAAACCCCATGAAGGGGCTGTGTGACTGAATACAGATATCATGGGAACACAAATCCATTGCCACTCATCCACCTGAACCGACCCTGTATGTTTGTCATTAGGAGTATATGGTGTCATATGTACAGACTAGTATCTACCTTGAAAAAATTGCTAGGTAAAAAAAGGATGACCACATCAGTAAAACACAATGGTGCATGAGGCTGATTTTGCCAATCAGATCAAGGTATGAAAAACACCTCAAAATTATTTATCTTCACTAATGCAACGTAAAAAAATATAAAATAAATTAAAAACTACAAACATGTAGGTGCAGTATTGCTTCATTTCTAGAGTTGTCATCACCTGATCAAGTCAGTTATGTTATCATCCAAATCAGTAACCAGAGCACCAGTGACCAACATTGAGAAGAAGGACCTAATGCCCTTTGTAACCCTAGAATATATAATAAGGTCAAAAACTTTCATTTGTTAATGTTGAAGTCTTTAAATCCCAATTTCACACTCATTGGGTGACTGCCCAAGCCAACACTGTTCACATAGAGTGCCATGTGATCAACAGAGGCCTCAGCATGTAGTGTGTGCTTATAAGACCTTAATACCTTGCTTTATAAACAATATATTTTTCAGAACATGTAAACCTTTAAACAAACACTGAAATTTAGCACCATTGGTTGCACAATGAAATGTATACTACCCAACAATATAAATTTTGAAAAAATAAGAGATTTCTTACTTATATCTTCATAGTGTGCATAAATTGGTTGGTCTCTTTTTAAATGACTGTTTTACAATACAAGTTCCTTTGCTATTGTGACAAACACAAAACTACTGAATACTGGTGTTGCTGTCAAATTTCAATTTAATGCTGACCACCTTTACATGCTGCAACTGACCTTCAAGATTCAGACTGTCACCTTCAGCCATTGTGCTGAAATACATGTATATAACCAAACTGGCGATATCACCAATACATGCATAGGTACACTGATGAAATAAATTTCAACAATAAAAATTTGATACATGAAGATTGACACTTTATATACTGCTTACAAAATGTCCAGACAATCTGGAACCAATGATGAGATAATCAGGGATGAGGATGGTTATGAGTGAAAAACGAGGCAAATGAGCCGGAGGTGTTTGGGACTTTAGGTCCCCATGCCAGATCCAATGACCCCAGTGCAATCAAATCTGCAGATCTGCGGAAAATTCTCATCCCTGGATAATCTGTGACAGCCATCAAGTGGCTTTATGTTACAATGGTGGTCATGCCTGATGCATCAGTGGATTTCAGCACATGAATACAAGATATAACATAGTTTAGGTGAAAAGATATGCTGACCATACACCAGCATGGACGTTGATGAACACTTAACATGTACAGCTTAGATGTTTGATTGGCAGTTTAGAAGATGCTATTTGATGAACATAGAGAATTTTCTGGGTTTCATCTTCTTTTTAATGTTTTGTACAACATTTCAGGGCTTGTTCTGAACACTGTTCTTTAGTTCTACCTGATGACGGGGCCAGAACAAGCCCTGAAACGTTGCACCAAACAATAAAAAGAAGATGAAAACCACAAAATTCTCAATGTTCATGTACAGCTTGTAAATCATATAAAAAGTGCACTGTCAGTGTTTAGGTTTGACCAATTGGGTCAGACATTGTGACCATCCAATCAACAATTAAAACAAACATTCATTTCAACCTTTGAACAGCCTGTATCAGGTTCTGATCATCAATTATCAGGTTTTACACCAAGAAACCAGGTAATAAATACAACACCCAAACTACATCTGGTTTACACTGGTCATCTCTCTGTGACAAAACACAGATTGTAGATGCACAGTTACAAAAGCTACACATAGTGGACAGTAATTCAGCACACAGTTTGGAATAAGCACCTTGAAGATGGAAGCATCATAACCAGCAATGAGAACAGATCAGTATAAGCTGGGATATACAGTCTGAATCAAACACATGAGCAGACTGGAGATCTACAGCCCACTCTGTAGACACCAGGTCTTTGTCTACACCATTAATATGACCCAGCATCTTCTGGAAGTCTATATTCATTCTTTGGAAGGAGATGTCAGTATCTGAGTTTTAAGGGGATTTGTTTATTTCAACTGTTTTTGGTGTAAGTTAATGAATATTTATTGATTTGATCCAGAATGCTGTCTATATTTTTGTAGTATCCTCTTGTCAAATCAGTGATGGGTCTTTTTCCCCAGCCTTACATCAATTATGTGTTGCTTGTCAGTGGCTCAGTGCTATCGAAGTGGCTGACATCTTAATCTGCTTCACAACCATTATGCTGACATACTGCAAGGGAGCCAATTCCATTTAAATGAGATTGTTTACACACAAATGATACATCTTAGCATCAAGATATGAGGACACCCACATGAATTTGTGCATGAGGTGAACCCTGATCCAGCTTTGATTGTCCAGTCAAACTGAAGGATGCTTGGCTCTTGAGAGATTCAGATGTCAGCCATCTAAAACAATTTGGCTTAATTTCTTTATCATCAAGATTTGGAAATTTCAGTCTCAGAAAAAGAAAACTACCCCAGAACACAATAATTGTATAATCTTTTGGGAGTAGATGTCATGGTGCTAAGAAACATCAGGAGTGTGTAAAACATCCACAGCAATACAATAGCACAACTTAACTTTGCTTTCCATCATATTTCATTTTAAGGTAAAGAAATCAGATATGCTTATCAAAATACTTCACTCACTTGTACCTCAAATTTAGACACCTTGTATTCATTGAGTTCTTCATACAGAGAGTTATCGAAAAGATTTGACTTTAATTGAGACTGTGAAATACTGTTCCAAGCAAATACAGAAGGGACTGGACGCAAGTCCACTGGCATACCATACAGGCTGAATTCAAGCCATTAAAGACCCAACTCCATCTATCTGATGACTGAAATTTGTATACTGTTTTATAGCATATCACTTACTGATTACCTTATTCACATAGTTTCATAATGCAGTAAATACAAGACCTGAGCCCTATACTGGGATATAGACAATGGAGTGTAGCAACTCTAGCTATGCAGTCACTCAGTGTGTTACCCATGTCAAATTTGGACAAATTCTTTATTTCCAAGAGGACAGTCCCAAGACGCCAGATCATGAAGATACGCCATGAATAACCATAAATGGTAAAAAATCCAATGTACAAAATATATAGTTTAGGTAAATTTTAAACTTTTTGGTTTCAATGTAAAGAAAGGTGAAAATACTCTATTAACATTAAAAGTGTGAAGAAAAGAAATTACAAGCCTTTCTTGGCCAAAGTCTCGCATTAGCCTTCCAGCATGACACTTGTGAACATTGTCATATGACTGGTTGTGGTTCAACAAAAGATCACATCTTCATAACATTTAATGCATATTTAAACACAACAGACAAGTTTTACCATAGATGCATCTGTAGTATTGTGAATTTCATAACCATTGTGGCATCAAAACCAAAAATCATTTCGAATGTACATTATCAAATGAAATAAAGCTGCCTGTTTCGAACGTTTTACACACTGACTTTTACATACCAGTCTCACACAGCACAAGCAGCACTGGCTTGCTGGCTGTAGGTTATGCCAAATGAAAGATGCAATGAAACATGTGGAAACAGACAAATATCAGTAATACATAACATAACTGCTCTCAGGCAAGTTCAAGTTCATCTTGTTATTATTCATTGCATATAAATATCAAGCCACAATATTTATCAAAATACTTTCACAAAAGCATTGGGTTTAGTTGTCAGGAAAACCACAACTTCCTAACAGACATACATAGCTTCACAATGCAATAAAATGGTGATTTCTTATACATTCATTTCCTTTCCTAAAAACGGATTTCTTGCAAAAGGTCGTCTGCCTAACAGAAAGTACAGAACATTCATACACTTCTCCATAGATGTGAGAACATCCACATTTTGCTTTGGTTGATAGAACGTGGTAAAACCATTCCCAACCATCCGGAATTGAAACAGTAGTAAATTGACGCCCCAGAAGATGGAAGCTATGTTGAGTCCTATTAGACACAGATGCCATGCATTGCTGTGAAACAGAGTGATGCCCATTTCAAATATTGTCAGTTTTGGGTATATTTCAAACAGTTGTGCTGCTGAGAGGACGAGGAAGATCACCATGGCGATGATGTTGAGAGCGATGAACCAGATGAAGCGGAGGTGGTTCTTCTGTGCGATACACTGCAGCAGGAACAGACAGTGGTGGTCCATGTCTCGGAAACACTTGTTACACAGTCGGCAGTGCTTGGTTCGAGGTGGACGCACTATCTGTAGGACAATGTGAAATGGGAGTCAATTATCTGGAATTTTGGAATTTGCCAGTCATCATGCCAACCACCATTGGATGAGTTGAAAGAGGTTTAATGTTGTGGTTACGATTATTGCACCTATATTGCAACATGCATGTGTCTGGGTCCTTGTACTAGTCTGGAACCCATTTATATTTTGCTAGCCTGTTGTGTTACCATGTTTCAGTGTAACATATATACCTGACTCAGAAACAAGCGTCCGCCCGGGAGAACGGAAGGTCGCGGGTTCGATCCCCGACCGAGTCCTACCAAAAGATGTTAAAATATGGTACTTGTTGGTCCCTGCCTGGCGCTCGGCATTAATGGGTACAACAAGGACTGGTCAGCTCGGAGTCAGTATAATGTGTCTGAGTGGGGTATTCATGCTTCACTGCGGCATGGTATCTCAGTGGGCTAGCACTATAAAACCAGCTTCAGTCTGGGCTAGTACAAGCAGCGGCACATACATATACACACGCATGCACGTTGTCATATGAGCGAAATATTCTCAAGTACGACGTTAAACCCAATTTCACCTCACCTCACCTCAGAAACAATATACTGAAACTAAACCCACTGAATGTAAAGTTCTAGACAGGGTTCAAGACTTTCGGTAGGATGCGGCCAGGGACTCCCAATCAATTCTCTAGAGCAAGTCATGGATTTGGGAAACACTTCATAAGGCCACAGAAATTATTTATACATGAGCCTATGATACTCTTTACAAACTAAAATATGAAAGAAAGGGTGTGTGAAAGAAAGTGCACAACTGTGTAAACTAGAGTGAGAGAATGTTCTTTTATGCTGAAGAGAGCAATACTAGTGAGCTCTGATAATTATCGGCAATAAAATAACCCCAGAATCTGATGATAATGAAAGAACCATGTCCAGGTAAGCATTCTTGTACATGTTTCATACAGACTGTGTCTGGGAAGCTTGGATATAACTCACCTCACAGAATATACAAAACTGCTCTAGTTTTTTACCAGGGTGACTAAGGTCAAGGATGGTGAGGGGCTTCAGTGTTTTCTCATCTACGTCAGACTGGGATACAGAACCTGGAGGAAGACATACATATCATGCAGCAGAGCAGTTAGTGCTACAAACACAGGCCCAGTCAATACACACATACATGGTCTGATTTTCACCAGATACGTATTGGCAGCAGTGAGGCTAGCTCCGCATGATGGATAGCTCAGCATTTGTCAGTTAGTTTAGTTTAAACATATTTTATTCACAGTGTGAAAAGGATCGGGGACAAGTTCTTTCAACTTATTAAACCCCTCTCCGAAGATATTTACAATAACTAATTACATCACAAGCAATTATTAGAAACAGAGACAGAGAAAGACTGAAACATAACAGGGGGAAATGCTATAATACAAAAGGTGTATAGAGAGAAGACTACTGGAATCGTTTAGATTTGCATATATATTGATGTACATTTTTGAATATAATTTCATTTTTATGATTTGTCAGATCTGCAATGCCGTTTAAAATAACAGATAATGTAATCACAGAATTACTACCACATACATCTTGAATAGCTTTAAGCATGATCTTTCTATGTTGATTGTATAAAGAACATTCTAAGAAGTAGTGATGAGCATTTTCCCATGGGTTTGTACCCATTCGCATTTGTCAGTTGACACAGGTGTTTTGAACAAATGAAATACCTGCCCGCTCAGACTTTTGATGCTGTTGTCTATAAATAGGTTTAACATGCAGTACCAGATGGATATGACAGCATACAAGTTCTTTGCAACTAGTTTTTTAGAAAATTGAAATCATTTGTTGCAATCCTAGTGTGTTTTTTATCGAACAGGTATTCAACTTAAGTTTTTTCATTCCATATTTCATATTGTAAGTATTTTCATCCATTTTCTTCAGTAAATACAATAATCACAAGCAGTCAAACAGCATGAAGAGTGAAGTGTTCAGAAGAGGATAATATCATCAGTTGTCATGTTATACATTTGTCAACAGGAAGTCTTGTTAGATCTACCAGTATTGTAACTCGCTCTCAGTTGTTTATTAAATGTCCAGTTGGAAGCAAGACATTTTATGTCTCTGTTCATCTCATTGATGATGACCAAATGTCCAGTCTGGCATCTTGTCCACATAATGTCCAGAATCTTAATGCAACAAACAATATCTATACATGTCTAAGACAGTAAAACATTTGTCTGATCCAGCTGATTATGTGCATGTGTTAGTTGTTAATGTGACACTCAGCAATATTACAGCTATGTGATGGCCGATTGTTAACAATCAAGTATGGACCAGACAATCCAGTGATGGATATTGAGAGCAACGATCCATGCCATCCACCAAGATACTGACTCACTGATCTATAAAGTTGACTCTTACGATCAGCGTAAGTTGTTGCCATCCTATTCTAAGCCAGGATCCCACCAAGTTGTAGCTATGTAGACATACCTGGATCAGTGAACAATATTGTGCAGTAGAGGTAGACGAGGCCGACTGCATACGTTGGGGTGAGGCACATGATGTAGAGATGCTGTGTCATGTCTGATGGAGAGTCAAGTGTTTAGACTGGCTGTTGGACATAATCGCCCACATCACTTTCAAAAACAGAATGATCCCAGCACAGAAATACTAATACAGTACAACCAGAAATTATTGAGAATTTAAAGATTGTATTTTTGTATTTTTTTCACTCATTACTCACGTATTAAATGTGAATATTAGCAGAATATAACTCCAGATTCAAAGACAGGTGAACAGTTAGTATTTTGTCAAGTCACCATGGGCAGCACTGCAGGCTCCAATGCGACGGGGCATACTACTGATCAAAGAAGTTAGAAAGTCGTGGTCCATGCTGTCCCAATATCGGACCACCTCTTCTTTCATTTCAGCAATATTTGTCAGAATTTTCTTATTGACACTTTCCTTCATAAGTCCCCAAACATTTTCTATTGGATTTAGGTCAGGGCTATAGCTTGGCCAATCTAATAATGTCATATTTTGGTCGAAACCAGGCCTGTGAATGCTTTGAACGATGTTTTGGGGCCGTGTCCTGCTGGAAAATCAAAAAATTTCCATAGAGCATGTGAGCAGATGGAAGTAAATGTCCCTCGAGAATATTTGTGTACCACTCACTGTTCATATTCCCTTCAAATACACAGAGGGGCGTTGCCCCTAACACAAATATGCCACCCCACACGTTAAATTTCGGACTGTACTTTGGGAACTGATACAAAGGTTTTTCAGTTTGTTTGGTCCAGAATTTCAGTGTATTAGGAAACAGCCACACAGAACTTTCATCTGAGAAAATCACATTGTCCCAGTTAAAATTTATGGCTGTAAGCACCAGTTCAACCTTCGCTCCGTTTGTTCAGGTTTCATGATCGGTGATGGAATTCCTCGACTTTTCTGCCAACCAATTGCATGCAGCTCAGTTTTATAAGTTTCCATACAGACAGCCACAGTTTCTCTATCAATCATATCCAGCCTTAAGTTTTCTAAACTCCTTCGTTTGTTTTTAGAAACAAGAATACCAAGCCGCCTCCTGTCACCGACAGTCAATTTTCTGGGCCTACCTGCGCCTCCCTGGTGCTCAATGCCATATCCATTTGCAATATTTTTCCAAACACAATAAACAGTGGACAAAGGGATGCCTGTTCTACTTGAAATCACTTTAGCTGATCTGATGTCCTTGTTATAATACCCTAAAATCAACTCCTCTTCTCTATATCATTCATACTGAGGATCACTGAAAATGTCGTCTGCTAGCAAGTAAACAAAGGGGGATAACTCTTCACAAGCTAATGAAAAAGGATTAACAGAGTTGTCTCTCTTGAATGAAACCAAGCACTTGATAGCTGGTCAAGGTTGTTTATACTAGAAATCCAATTAAACATATTCCTAAAATTCTCAATAATTTCTGGTCATACTATATAAGTTGCAGCATTGTGATGAGGGGTATACAGGGTTTTATGCGTCTCATGTTAGGTTTTTATTTAGGTTGATAAAACCTAATGGAATGCATAAAACCCTGTATACCCGAATCATAATGCGACAACGAATTTATCTTATATTTCAAACATATATTTTACGAACATGGTACCGACATGTCGATCCAAACCACTGGTTCACGGATCACTGACTGCCACGGATGCGTGCATTTTCCATGGGCAGGGTATAAATGATTTATTCTCCCTCGCAAATATTCATACCCTGCTTTGGCGGTGTACAGCCGAGTACTGGGCATACACAGTAATTTGTTCAAGGTCACACGAAACAATCAGAGATGGACATTCTTACATGAGGTAAGACAACATGTTTTACATCCCTGCTGGGCCAGTGGGGTTCAAATATCCCCCTTTTTCAGAACAGTAGTTGGACACCAATCACATGAGCTAGAACCATGACTATAATAGCACATTTGTACAACTGAAATTCACATATTGGTATACATTAAAATAGCTAACCAGAGAGCATTCCAAAAACTAAGACAAGAAATAAATAAATTAATTGTATTTTTAATGCATACAAAAATTAAAAGGGACAGATGAAACCTGATAAAACTTGAGATCATGCAAAATCAGAAGGTGCACACAGTTCTTTGTTTCAACATCGTCCGACAGCATGTTTTACGTCATAATCAATAAATGCAGGAATTAACTATTGCAGGTATAGTTACAAATTTGGTCTTGCAATGCATGGCAACTGATTTATGTACGATTCCTGGACTAATGTGGTTTCAATGCCCAGGGTTTCCAAGTGTGAGTGGTTTAGAGGAAGGATACAAGGCATGATGGCTACGAAGAAGTAGAAGGCGGTGTGGAAGAGGCCAGCTGCAAACGTCCCAGCATGTACAGGGTTTGGCCACCTGGAGACACAAGACAAAATTTCAAATGAGTTCAACATGTAAACAACAACACATCTGAAGGTGACCTAACAAATTCACTGTTTGTTTCAGTAGACTTTACAGATTATCTGCACTAAATGTTTTGTACTTAAAGACAGGGCAAGTTTATATTCTTGTATTGCATCATATCTTAATAAATGTGAATAGAAAAAACAAAAGAAAGAAAAAAAGAAACCCTGTGTTTAGCTTTTAACTAGTCAAACTATCAGATTTTTTTATGTTTATCCCCCAAATCCTTTTCATTTCAAGAGTGTTATATCTATTAATTCATTTCAAATCATGCTTTACAATATTTATTTATTTTAGTTTTGTATTTTGACGTCTGCCTCTTACAGTTAGACCTAAACTAAACCAATAATCAAGAAACGAAATCGGTTTTGACCAGTATTTGGATAATTGAATTATAATCTCTCCACTTTACCTGCTAATGTCGGTGAATCTGTGCATCTGTTCTCGGAGATGGAACAATAGTGCCCCAAGACTCCCAAACACTAGTACGCCCTGATACTTGTCCATCAAAAGCCTGGACGCCAACACTGACACAGCAAATACAACAGCAGGGAGCAGCAGGTAGCAGTACCACTTCAACACAGGGCCACGGGGGTGGGCTGTGGGATTCCTCCGAAACTGCTTCAATAATGGAACAAGTTCCTTGTGCCTGGTTGACAAAAAGATCAACATTAACCAGTGTCACATTTTTTGGTTTGTTTGTTGTTAAGCCTCACTCAGCAGTATTTGAGCTTTATGATAGAGGTTTGTAAATAATCAAGTCTGGATCACTTAATTGGAATATTATGACATGTTATTAACCAAGCCAACAAGTCTGACAATCCAATCCATTTACAACAGGCACAGGTTGCTGGCAATCTATATTCTAATCCAAAATCCCCACAAGTGTTTCAATTCATGTCATTATACTGTTTGAGTCTGTAAATAATCTGGACCAGACGATTCAATGATCAACAGGAAGAGCATCAATCTACACAACTGGGATACGATAACATATGTCAACCAAGTCAGTGAGCCTGATCACTCAATACCATTAGTCACCTCTTAGGAGTGAGTGAGTGACTTTAGTTTTACGCCACAATCTGCAATATTCCAGCTATATGGCAGCAGTCTGTCAATAATCGAGTCTGGACCATACAATCCAGTGATCAACAGCATGAGCATCGATCTACACAATTGGGATACGATGACATGTGTCAAGCAAGTCAACAACCAGCCGACCCCATTAGTCACCTCTTATGACAAGCATGGGATACTGAAGATCAATTCTAACCCGGACCTTCATGGGTCAGCATGAACCTTTGGCATATTTCCCCAGGAAACTGACAATGGTTCACTGAATGAAAAACAAGAGTTCAGAAATAATTTCTCCAGATCATAAAGAATTATTTATATCCTACCCTGTCTTGTCTCTCATTGTTGCAAGATCGCAAGGAGTGTAACCGTCATTGTTGGTGAAGTTCAGAACTTTGCTCCCCATGACCTCCAGAAGCAACCAGGTCATGTAGCTGTGGCCTTCCAGGACCGCTATGTGCAGCGCTGTGTTGCCATCACAGTCTGTCGCATACAGGTTGCTTCTCTGTGGGAAGGGAACAAAAGTCAGGGAGTTATCTAGGCATGCTCAGAAGCCAATATTTGGCTCCAAGTTTGCAGCAAATGCCCACAAAAGCCCCGTATTAAACTGATTATTTCCCGGTTGATGCTGGTAACATGATTATAGTAATAACAGTATAATTCTTATATAATGTACAAATTAGAATGAGGAGCAGAACATTTTTATAAATCATTGTGTACCATTCATGTGATGTGTGATCACGCATTTGACTGTATTATGGGCCAGTGGCCTTTTACTGAATAAAACTGTCTGTCTGTCTGTCTGTTAATAACAGCATAACTAATGTCATCACTTTATGGCAGTGACTTATATTTCACTGATGATATGACCACTGAAGAGGAAGAGGCTTTAATGTGTTTTATTGCTAATAATAAATAATACTTGCATGAGAGAAGAAATAAACACATAGATCAGATGATGTTACAATGGTAACACATTTAATGCTTCTTTGTTCTATTCAACTGATACAATGTATACATGAAAAGATTAAGAACTTTAAGTAGTTACCCCTTTCCTGAGAAGGTACTTCAAGGAGTCCACTTGTCCATGTCTGCACACAATATGGAGAGGTGTGAGACGTTTGGAGTCAACATCTGATAGGTTTAGCTGCTGAACTTCCCACAGATAGTGGAGCATGTATCTGGGAACACAAGGATGAGTAATTAATTATGGTATGCACATCACACAGTGCTCATGAAATTATTCCTCTTTAATGTGTCTACTGGACCAAACTAATCTTTAAACATCATTTAACAAGTTTAAATATGCGAATGTCATCTCCTATGTTTTGTTTTTTTCATATGAAGATGATTAGTTGCAGAGATTAGCCTACACATTTCTATTGAAAATAGTGCATTATGCTTTAAACTAAAAGTATTTATTCTATCAAGTGCTGACTTCAAATTCCAAATTCATTGAGAACCACTTGTAGTAAAATACCATGATTCCACATGACCTTTGCCCTGATAGTCATAACATAATATCTCCTGGACAGAGAATCAGCCAATCAGAGGCCTATTCAAAACTCATGTTTTTTTACAGGAAAACCTGGACATGAGTGTCTTACAAACAGTTTCGAAATGTCTGCATGAGACATCTTCTACTCACACAGTCCCAGTCTCTGCTGAATGATGGATCATCCCTTTTCCATTCTTGTCTACAAGTGTTGCATCCCCTCCAACCTGAACCAACATCTGGAAAACTTGCAGATTCCCTCTCTTGGCTGCATAGTGTAGTGGTGTCTCATCAAAGTCATTAGGTTCATTAGGATTACTTCCAGCTTGTAGCAGCAACCCAACAATGTCAGAATTCCCACCTAGGCAGGCTCTGTGTAGAGCAGTCTGGCCATGCCATGCTGATGATGAAAGCATTAATGATTAGTAATAAGAAAACTGGTTCATCTAGCATGGTCAGGTGAGAAATACAAAGCCTAATTTCTCAAATTTTCCTGTATTGATATAACAATAAAGCCTTTCTTCACCATACCTATTAATTTTAAGACTACTAAAGTCAAATGTTAACTCAGTGAATGAAGTTAGGACAAAAATATTTTGCAAACAGGAAATTATTGCTTCCTTCCATATCCCATTTTCTGACAGTCAGGTTCCCTGAAACTGGATAGGAAATAATTCTCCATTCTGATAAATTACATTAGCAAGGGAATATAAGATTTAGGTCATTTAATCTTTAGTCATAGAATGCATGTCAGTCAAACATATCCAACAAATCGCACATTTGTTTGACAACTCTGTTCGAACTGAACAACATCTTCTCAAACTGTAAGGCGTTCAGACTTCTAATAAACACTGCAGGAAAACTAACCATGCTTAGAAATTTAATTGCAAACACACTAGTAGCATTGATTATATGATGCTGTTCACGTCTCTCTGAGTACAGAGATTTTGTCCAATTTGGGAGTTGATTGCAAGCTGCTTGTTGTCGAGAACGCTGTGATGGGGCACACTGTTGTGTGAGACTGTCACTCTGTGACCCTAGTGGTCGACAACCTCGTCATGGCTTGACGGTCAGATTGGAGGGCATTGGCAGGAGAGACAGATACGTCTGATCAACTACGTTCTTAGACTGCACCTAAAAGGGTTCTACTACAACACGCAAAGCAATAATCACCGTACCCTTTAAATTCACCAAGTCTGGATTCTGCTCCAACAACTGATGAACGACCGGGCCCGAACAGTTTGAGATGGCATTGGCCAATATATTATAATCATGAGGTATGTTTGGATTTGGTATCAAGCTGTGGGCAAACCTCATCGGATCGTCCGTCATTTTGTACAAATGGTGTGTCTGCTAATCACAACTGTCAAAAGAAAGAACAAAACGTTCCTACACGACACTAAAATTTATCATTTACGTCGCCATTTTGAATAAATACAGGAAGTGCATAATTTATTTGCAACAATGAATTTCATTGGTTTAGATGTTCACGAAAAACCAATGAATGATGAGATAACTGAGAGAATCTTCTCCGGTGCAAGCGCGGAGATTTGTTTATCTCTTTTACGAAAGAAGTTAGACCAGAAAAAAGATACGAAGTTTGTCAGCTCCTTATGAAGCCGAGCAGTCAAGTCGCTGAGATGGATTTAAAGGTACAACGACGAGTAAATGTTTAAGCGTCGATTGACTCTTGGTTGGAGTCTGTCAGCAGGCCTGAAGTTTAGTGTTAAAGCTTGTCATGCTTGTATATATAGCGTGGTATTCACGAATATAAGGAACCCTACCCATCGTCAGATGAAAAAAATGTTTCAGGATGACAGCGTATAACGAGGCTGTAAGCGCCACACAAACATTGTAAAGACTCGGATGATCGCTTTGATAAGATAGTAAAATCATTTACAGCTGTTCTTGGAATAATCGAGACAACAATGGGATGTGTACCCTCTTCCATACCCTAATCGACTGGATTACTTGTTCACATGTCAAAAATCATGTCCATACACAAAGCACATTTATGTGATTTATGCATTAGAGAATTAGGAGATAAACCTAGTGTGTTTGAAAATCAGAGACATGCTTTACTGAATTGATGGCGTAGCGTGAGGTTTCAATTGAAATATTTAGTCGCCATCAATTCAGTAAAGCATGTCTCTGATTTTCAAACACACTAGGGTTATCTCCATTCTACCATGACCCATTTAAAATCGAACTTCCTCGCTCTGCGGAAGACACTGCGTAATCCGGCATGGGACGAGAGGCGAATTGAACTCGTCTGTGAAGGGAGCGGTAGATGCTGTTCGTATTTTTTTTAACATTACAACATAACAATATTCTGTCCAAAGAAATCAGACTACTGTTTATTCAATGCAATTAGGTAATACCCGAGTAATACCAACTCCACACGACTAAAACCAGCCTATTGTTTTGTGTGCCGTGAAACTGTACCCCCCTGGCCACACTATAATGGAATCGTCTGACCTACTTATTTTCTTGGAAGTAGACAGTTACGCAACAGTTTGAAATGGCGGACGAGCCAGTGTTGTTTACATTTTGCGAAAGGTTGAAATTTGAAGTGACAGTGGACAATACTTGACTGACTGTTGAATCTGAACCCTGCAGAATCGAAGAATAGATCTTTTCCTGATCAACCTACGACCTGTAACTTATCAAAGACTGTTGATTTTTATAACCGGCCGATCATGATTTCACGTACTGCCTCCACCCCGGCATGCGACAAAAGAGTGACAGTACTGCTGCTTATTGTACATGCGACTAACTTGTGATTCCTTGGAACTTTGTTTTCATCGTTTTTGACTGGGCTGTGTCCAAGCGTTTTTCAAAGTAGATGAACATAACAGTGACAACCTTGCGGGGAAACTGGCAGAGAGCAGAATTATTTTGTGAACGATGCAACGGGATATGATGGAGTATGACTATGAGTGGCATAAATGTGGTGTTTCGCCAGACCGCTAGATCTATCTTGCAAATTTCCCATTCTAAACGGAATTAAATATACCATTTACCAGGTAGGTAAATGTTTACTAATGTTTTGCTGCATATTTTGTATAAATAGGGATGTATTTTTACAAGGCTTTCTGATTTATATGTTAGATATTGTTTTGTTTATGTTGGGGCTGTGTATTGTAATTGAGTTTGAATATTTTTATAATAGAAGGTAATATGATAGTGAGGTTCCCTCATAATTGTTGGGGGGGGGGAAGCATATAACTGTATTTTTCGAGTTTAAATAAATGTTTTATCAGCATTTCCATCACGTCTGTTGTGTTGATATTAGTCATGTTGGTGGTCAAGCTGAAGTAGTGCGGCAGTGTTCTATACGTGCGCAGTGAAGCGCAATGAAATCGAACGCATTTTTAATCCAAAAATTTCCAATAGCCTGTGTGGAAAATTCGAAAGTCAGCGTCAAAATCCATGGAGTTGTTGTTATGATCCGCCATCATTGTGGTCAAACGGAAGTAGTTCTCACAATAAGATTTGTTAATGCGCGGTGAAGCGGCCTTACAATCAGATGAGCGTCAATCCACTTCTGAACAACCAATCAGAATCTAGTATTTTCTTGATTCATGGTAGAATTGATATTTGACACTCTACATGTTCTGGTGACTACAAACATTGAATGGACAGATTTTCAATTGATACTTTGTTTTGTTTTATTTTAGCAACATGTGAGTAGTTCAGTGACTACCTGAGTCAACTTCTTGTTGAACCAACTGAATTCTAAGAATCTAGTAGTACTTAGAAATATTTCTAAAACAGTAAAGCCACCATGGACCAGTGCCCATTTGTACCATAAATCCGAATTTTTGATAATGCCCTCTGGTGTTCCATCGGAAAAGGTATTGATTGCTCAAAGAATGCTGTCAATACATAATAAGTATTAGATCCAGATCTATAACATGTGAGATAATACTAATACACTGTAACCATAGTATCTGTCACATTGCCAGGTCACGCCTCTGTCGACTGAGGATACAAATGACCCAGATGCGGCTGCCGCCAAGACCAAGAAACCCAGGAAAAGGATGAAAGAAATGAGGAAGAAAATCCAGTCTCAGGTTGTCTCTTACTCCCGACCTCTTCTTTTAGAATGTTGATGACATTTATGATACAGTTTTATGTTTGCAAATTTATTGGTAAATTGTGAATTTTAATTTGATTGGTACAGTATTTTAATGCATAGTTTATCATTTAGCTGTATGCAATGATATAAGACATCTTGTACTCTGCAAACATGAGTTATGTCCCTTTAGTGCACAAAAACACCTTTTTTAAAAATGGCTGATGTGATGCGTAGCCATGTGTTTAAGAACTCTGTGATCGTGTTGCTTATCAAGCTTGTCAAGTGAAAGTGTATGTTTGGGATAATGTTTGATGTATTCATGACCCTCCTATAATGCTTTTCGGGGCCATTACTAAACTTCCATTTTGGCTCCCAACTTGGGGCGTAAGTCGCCGACAGAGCTCTGGTTAGGCATTTACAGTGCCTCATGCCTCTGTTCTTGGTTCAGACCCATAGTTACAAAATGTGAAACATTTCATTGTGTGCATGATGTTTACAATAACGTGAAAAGGGTAAAAAATAAAGGCTGGAAAAGTTATTCTTTTTTTTAAATTAAATATGAACATGTTGATGATGTTAGGTTGTATCATGTTTAACATGTTTAATGAATTTAAACCCTGTCACCCATTGCTGTATTGTAAGCTCATGATTTCACTTCTCATTTTAGATGGAGTTTTACTTCAGTGACTCAAATCTACAGAAGGACAGATTCTTGAAGAAAGAGATTGGAAAGACTGAGGATGGATGTAAGATCATTTGGATACATTACAGCGTGTTCCTAATGCCAGATGCATCTTGTACACATGCTACACACAGTGCACCATATGTTTGTTTATACATTCAGAACACATGAGGCTAGAGAAAAACATGTATGTAAATCTGATTCATTGTTTGGTATTATCACATTTGAAACAATGACTGTGTGAAGTCTGTGTATCTTAATCATCTAAAATTGTTTCAAATTGTTATGTATTTGGTCAAGTGACTGAAGAATGTGTTTTTGATTTCAGATATAGATATATCTATATTCCTAAAGTTCAACAAGATTCGTCAGCTAACAGATGACATCAAGACAATAGCCAGGTCTTTAAAGAAATCCAAACTGTTGGAGGTACGTTGCTGAGTCAGTGAGCTTCTCCACTTTTCTTGTATTCGTCCTCCCGAAATTACATCCACTTGTATGCAGCAATCCAGTGTTGGTCTTACCGGTCCACATTTAGCAGTAAGATATGTTAAGTGGTTACCCCCACTAACACTAATCTTTAATCTTAGGGGGGCGGTGGGGTAGCATAGTGGTTAAAGCATTGGCCATCGTCACGCCGAAGACCCGGGTTCGAATCCCCACATGGGTACATTGTGTGAAGCCCATTTGTGGTGTCCCCCGCCGTGATATTGCTGTAATATTGCTAAAAGTGCCGCGAAACCAAACTCAGTCATTTTAATCTTAGGGCTGCCAGTAAGTATCTGTATTATGGATTTTTGTGTTTTACAAGCAAATGATGAATGTTTGTGTTTCTAGGTGATTGACAAGCGTTTGTCTTTTGCAGATTATTATCTGCATTTTATTATTTTTTTATTATTATGTTTCTGTAGGAGGCTAATGTTTGGGTTTTGCAGGTGAATAGCGATGAAACAAAGGTCAAGAGAATTCAACCTGTTCAGAGTGTTCCTGACGTGGATGACAGAACCGTCTATGTTGTGAGTTCGGATATAGGAGCTGCTGAGTTTTGGCATCATGGTTACTGAGGAACACATATTGGTCAGATTGTCTTTAATAATTCTAATTAATTTGAATTATTGCTGAATAGATTCTGTATTCACAAATCTTTGCAAATATATCACAACTTGAAGTGTGTTTTGTATTGTGTGATGTTGCCATCTTCTCCAGTCTCACATCCCCTTCATACATTATGAGAAACAAACATTCTTTCACAAGTTGAATTTATTAACATCAAATGGTTACAGTTGCAATCTTAAGTTTTTCAGCTGAATGATCAAGGGGAGATAACTCACATTCACCATGCCATTATTGTAGTAGCGTTGATTGCATTCGTGACCTACTCGTGTTATTCCGGGACAAGCCGAATAGCGACTCGTGCCCCTCTGGAAGGATTTCATATTGGCGCATGAACATCAGAACTACTTTAAACAGGAATGATAACTCTATTCTTGTTTGATTCCAATGGTACTTAATATCACAAAGTTGATTAGTTACATGCAGATATATGTCTAATATTATTGTTTTGAAACTTGTAGTGATTTATAATTACATTTCCTAAAATTGTTGGAAGCGCACGTACAATCTCCATAGCAAGCCCGCAAGATCGTCAGAAATACCCTCAGTTGGAAACATGAGAGCCGTAATGTCAACAAACGCACGTGCATGTATTTGAATATCTCACCGTCAATCGCATGATTCTTATCGAAAACTTCATACCAGGCAGCAAAATCCTGTTAGCTAAGTTCTTTGTACTTTCAATATGTCGATATATATTTTTTCATGATTTTTTAAACAATGACATAATGCCATAAACGATTTCAGTACTTGGGATTATTTTTACCAAAGCACCTCAGTCATTTACGTGCGTTCTGATTGGTTTGTCTTTTTTTCGCACATAACAAGCATCGAGAGGGGGATGAGTCTTCTTGGAGGTTACAGAAAGAGGCGAGTGGTGACGAATGCGTTGATTGGTGTGCATGGTGTGGGCAATTATTGACCCTCACACCCAAAGGAATGCTGTTTTTCAAAATTTGTGTTATTGTCTCATGCAAATAACATGTATATGTTAAAGACTGAAGAAAGACAACCACATTTCTGTATATGATAAATCAAGCTTTAAAATCCCATTCCAGGAGAACCTGCCCCGTACTACCGACCATGAGTGGGTAAGGAGTCTGTTCTCACAGTGTGGCAGTGTACAGTATGTCAGTCTGCCAAGGTTCAAGAGTACCGGGAGATCTCAAGGGATTTGGCTTTGTTGAGTTTGCCTCTAAAGAAGAGGCTACCAAAGCTTGTGAGGTAAGACTGCAGGCTTGTAAGCTGGAGTGTTTTTGTCTACAGTGGAACTCTGTATACCTGGACAATTCTGTTTTTGTAAAATACAGCTGAATATCATTCTCTGTGAGGCAGTAACAGTTGTTGAAAAATATTTGACAATAATTGACTGTAATTGACACTTTCTTCACTTGCTGCAGTTAAGTTAAATTTTAATTCTTTAGTTATTTGAAACCCTTATACCCTTTGCAAAATCAGTGAACATGGTATTTTTTTCATCTGAAAAGTACCGTTGGTTCTATGTTGCCTAGATGTTGCACAACCCACCTCCGATGTCAGGCAAGGCCGGAAGATTCCCCAAGTGGAACAAGATGCTGTACCAGCTCAAGAAGAAATCCGGACAAGGTCAGCTGCACTGTGTGGCTTAATGTACATGCTGTGAATATGTCTGGATTGCTTTCCAGTTTATAACTACTTCAATGTGCTTATATAACCATGATGTATCTACAGTATTACCTTGGTCACTGGTTCAGTTTGCACTTGAGTTTCATTCTCATCTCCTTGAGGGAGTATACAACCCAAGCAGTCTGGTCTGGTGCTAGAATGTTCACATTACCATCTTATCCTCCCGGGTACCCATTCACTGCTGAGTGAGTTACGTCACTTGTCTAATGAGACTCCACTGTGGATCAGTGTAGGACTAACCAAGACCTTACTTACTCTGAACTGACAAACACAGTCACCCTTCCAACTACTCTATAACTTTTAACTAATTTGCTATTAGTTTTCTGTACTTTCTATAGTACATGCCTGGACATTACTCTCACTTCCATTTAAATACAGTCAAAGTGTAACATTGCAGTATTCTCTGTCTTGTTCTGGAAGTATAGAAACACAGACTATAGTGGCTTCTCCCAGTCAGCTCATGGACCCAGCAAAAACTTTGACAAATAATAACTTTGGGGAACAATTCACACCCAATAACTTAGAAATGTATGGAATACCAGAACAATACTAAATGTGAATAACATGTGAGTAACTACTCAATTGCTAAACAGTTTCAGTATATTTTTGACCTTTCCAGACTCTCACGAAGACATGGAGACCACTGAGAAGTCGAAGGAGAACGATGAACCCGTACAGAAGCAGTGTAAAAAGCACAAGAAGCGGCGACGACACACTAGCGAGAGCAGCGTTGATTGCTCCTCTGATTCAGTCCCGGCCAAGAAGAGGAAGACGGAGTCAAGTGATGGCAGAGAAGAGCCTGAGAGGAAGAAGGAGGTCTGTAAGGACTTGGGTAAAGCTTCATGTGCTAAGGAACAAGGTAAACTGGATGAGTCAGTGTCAGATGGGCTCAAATCAGAGGAAGATGACAGAAAAGAAGGAAAGAAGAAGAAAAAGAGGAGGAAGCAGAGACTTTCTGATTCAAATAAATCTCTTGAAGAAGATTCAGAGCACACAGACTCCTCTTTTGTGGAGAAGGACAAGTCTGAAAGGGGAAAACGTAAACGAACATCGGACAGTCGAGAGAGTGGTGAGTTTTCAGCTCCGCAAGCTAAGGCGTCAAAACCAGATGATTCTGGGGTTGATGTAGAGACAGGTGATGTTAATAAAAATAAGAAGAGAACTCGAAGGAAGACAAAGAAGAAGAAGAACAAAGAGAAGGATATCCCACCACCACAGCTCAAGGTCATCACCAAGTAGGTTCAGACTGTTGTCAGGAAAAAGCAACCTTTCCAATTCTTAGATTTTGCTTGATTCATTAATTCATTCACTCATGACAGAAATTTGAAAACCATGATAGGTTTGGTATTTTGAATGATTAAACTATCCACTTGATACAAATTTCTGATATATACTCATGGAAACAAATAAGGGAACACATGAAGTTCAAGTGTTCCTTTATTTTTTTCCAGGTTTCTTCACAAGGAACGTATTGCACTGTGATTGAAATTCTGGTAATAAATAAAGGAACACTTGTACATGTGTTCCCATATTCATTTCTTTGAGTATATTTTTACTCAGTTTTCTTGAATTGATGGGATTAAAAAGAGTGAGTAAGTATGATTTAACACTGCTTTTAGCAATATTCCAGCAATATCACTAAAGGGGACGCCAGAAATGGGCTTCAACACATTGTACCCATGTGGAAAATTGAACCCGGGTCCTTGGTGTGACGAGCCAACGCTTTAGCCACTAGGCTACCCCCTGCCCTGATAGATAGATAGATGTCCACTGTTCATCACCTATCAACACTACTTAACTGTTAAATGTTGGCTTCTATCAGCACTAATTAACTAGTGTTGGCGTCCATTCAGTGCTAATTAACTGTTAAGTGCTGGCTTCTATTTGTTCCATTGTTTTGCCGGCATCTTTGTTGTCTTATCACTTTGTTGTTCTTACATGTACATATACAGTACAACCAGAAATTATTGAGAATTTAAAGATTGTAAAAAAATTATTTTTTCACTCATTACTCACGTATTAAATGTGAATATTAGCAGAACATAACTCCAGATTCAAAGACAGGTGAACAGTCACCATGGGCAGCAATGCAGGCTTCAATGCAGCGGTGCATACTACTGATGAAAGAAGTTAGAAAGTCGTGGTCCATGCTGTCCCAATATCGGACCCCTTCTTCTTTCATTTCAGCAATATTTGTCAGATTTTTCTTATTGACACTTTCCTTCATAAGTCCCCAAACATTTTTTATTGGATTAAGGTCAGGGCTATAGCTTGGCCAATCTAATAATGTCATATTTTGGGTCCGAAACCAGGCCTGTGAATGCTTTGAACGATGTTTTGGGTCGTTGTCCAGCTGGAAAATCAAAAAATTTCCATAGAACACATGAGCAGATGGAAGTAAATGTCCCTCGAGAATATTTGTGTACCACTCACTGTTCATATTCCCTTCAAATACACAGAGGGGCTTTGCCCTTAACACAGATATGCCACCCCACACGTTAAATTTCGGACTGTACTTTGGGTGCTGATACAAAGGTTTTTCAGTTTGTTAGGTCCAGAATTTCAGTGTATTAGGAAACAGCCACACAGAACTTTTATATGAGAAAATCACATTGTCCCAATTAAAGTTTCTATGCTGTAAGCACCAGTTCAACCTTCGCTCCGTTTATTCAGGTTTCATGATCGGTGATGGAATTCCTCAACTTTTCTGCCAACCCATTGCATGCAGCTCAGTTCTAATTGTCTCCTTACAGACAGCCACAGTTCCTCTATCAATCATATCCAGCCTTAAGTTTTCTAAACTCCCTCGTTTGTTTTTATAAACAAGAATACCAAGCCGCCTCCTGTCACCGACGGTCAATTTTCTGGGCCTACCTGCACCTCCCTGGTGCTCAATGCCATATCCATTTGCAATATTTTTCAAAACACGATAAACAGTGGACAAAGGGATGCCTGTTCTACTTGAAATCACTTTAGCTGATCTGATGTCCTTGTTATAATACTCTAAAATCAACTTCCTCTCCTCTAAATCATCCATACTGAGGATCACTTAAAATGTCTTCTGCTAGCAAGTAAACAAAGGGGGATAACTCTTCACAAGCTAATGAAAAAGGATTAACGGAGTTGTCTCTCTTGAATGAAACCAAGCACTTGATAGCTGGTCAAGGTTGTTTATACTAGAAATACAATTAAACATATTCCTAAAATTCTCAATAATTTCTGGTCATACTATATTTGCTATCTGTCCCATACCATTCATTCACCTGATGAAGGAGTAAGGATACCCTCCGAAACATTGTGTTCCTCATAATAAATAAGTTGACATCCATAAAAATTCTCTTCCTTATGTGTATCAGCTCTTCAAAGACCAAGAATGTTGAAGCCTAAATGAGTTTTGTTGCATCTTTTTTCATTAAGAAAAGCAACATTCAAAGGTTGAAATAATCTGCTATGACATGTGAAGACTGTGAGTGTTTTTCCAGGCAGGAGTGGCTCAAACTGAGAGAGGAGTACCTGAGTCAACAGAAGGCCAACATGGCCGCCCTCAAACAGTCGCTACGGAAACAGCGGCAGGAGAGAGAGGGACAACAGAATAAGATAGAGGAAGGAGGTAAGTGAAGAATTAACATACCAGATCACGCTCGATAATCAGCCTTCGGTTCATCCTTGGTATAAGGTTTTGTTTAATGTTGATGTTATGGTATTTGTTGGTCACTTCACAATAGGCTCCTCTGTAGAAGTGCTACTGTACTAAGATGACAGGTTGCTAAACAGATGTACAGGTAATATCCAGACATTTATCTCAACCCGAAGCCCCATTAGTCTTACCCTTCAGAAGATGTTTCAAAAGGAGTCCAATTCAAGTCTAGATTACCTCAACTCTAGAAAACTAAGGATTGTATAGGGTATGTTTTGAACTCTATTCTGTTTTGTGTTTGTGTATTATTAAATGAGGTAACTTCATTTCTGGGACTAAAGTGTAAGTCAATTTAACCCAAGTCCTGAGCAAATGTCAGTAAGACCAAAATCACTTTGTTATGTTAGTACGTTATGTTATTGTTTTCCATTACTGACTAGCATTTCACTTTTATAAGAGATAAAAGAAACAAGAAGATACTTTAATGCATAGTTTTCTATCTTTCCTTTAAAGGGAATGTTAAAAGACCCCTGAATTTAACAACACCAGGACTTTCATGAAAATTCCAATTGTGAAAAAAACCATGGTTTTATCCCAATTTGTCAGCTAAGCATTTGAATGTGAGATGAACCATTGTACAACCCATCAGACCGCATTGAGCAGGTTCCTAAAGTGTTCTCTGTTTTCAGGTGCCACTAAAGGTGCAGCCCGGCCAGACATACAGTATGTCCCTGGGGTCATAGTGCAGGTCACCTGTAGTGACCCCATGAACAGAAGGGCGCTGAAGGTGAGAGATGAGAGGAGACTCTTAACAAAGATTGTTTCAATGTTTACAGAAAAAGAAGTGATTCACCACTTACAGAACTTTTAACAATGTTCCAGCAATTTGCATGTTGTACACATGTAGAGAGTTGAACTCAGGGCTTCAGTGTGATAAATGAATGCTTTCACCATTGGGCTACCCAAACACAGATTCAAGAAAGTAGTCATCAAATTTTATGGTTTCTTTTGTGGAACAGTGTATTTTCTCTTTCATACTGAGGCTGTTTCCTGAAGAAATTGATGTTAATTATTCAAGGTACATAATCAGGAAGTGAGCTACAATCATTTCTTTAATGGTTATGTTAAGAATGGTTACAAATTTATGGATAACAACTTCTTGTTTATTCCTAAGAGTGACATTTTGCATATTACACAGTTACCAAGCTAATAGTCAATGATATTGTTGTCTCTCATTTGACATTTGCAGGAAAAGTTGCCCAGGGAAGTTGGTGTTGCCTACTTCGACATAAAAGATAATGCCTTGTCTGGCAACATCCGCTGTAATGATGAGGAGAGTGCAAGGAAGATCTCAGAGTTCCTTCTAGAAAACCATACTTTCAACTTGCTTACTGGTAGGTCATGCTGTACAGACTGGATGTTAAACCCTATTTCACCTCACCTGTACAGGTAGACTGGATGTTAAACCCTGTTTTCACCTCACCTGTACAGGTAGACTGGATGTTAAACCCTGTTTTACCTCACCTGTACAGGTAGACTGGATGTTAAACCCTGTTTCACCTCACCTGTACAGACTGGATGTTAAACCCTATTTCACCTCACCTGTACAGGTAGACTGGATGTTAAACCCTGTTTCACCTCACTTGTACAGGTAGACTGGATGTTAAACCCTATTTCACCTCACCTGTACAGGTAGACTGGATGTTAAACCCTGTTTCACCTCACCTGTACAGGTAGACTGGATGTTAAACCCTGTTTCACCTCACCTGTACAGGTAGACTGGATGTTAAACCCTATTTCACCTCACCTGTACAGGTAGACTGGATGTTAAACCCTGTTTCACCTCACTTGTACAGGTAGACTGGATGTTAAACCCTATTTCACCTCACCTGTACAGGTAGACTGGATGTTAAACCCTGTTTCACCTCACCTGTACAGGTAGACTGGATGTTAAACCCTGTTTCACCTCACCTGTACAGGTAGACTGGATGTAAAACCCTATTTCACCTCACCTGTACAGGTAGACTGGATGTTAAACCCTGTTTCACCTCGCCTGTAGAGGCAGACTGTACCTTAAACCCGGTTTCACCTCACCTGCATGCTGAGTGTAAACTTTGTCATTGACACTTTTTGTGTGATGTTCACTTTTGTGCTATGTTTTTTACCCTTGTCACGAGGGCTGTGAGACAGTTGAACATGTGTTCACATTGTGACCCTGATTCACATTTCAGGAGACAGTGAGAAAAATTACTGGGATAAGCTAAAGGCAGACAGAGAGGACAAATTCAGTAACAAGACAAGGACAAAGAAAAGAGGAACACAGAAGGTCTGTTGTGTGAATGAAAAGACGATAGCATTTCTACCCTATGTATGGCCAAATGTTATTCCACTTGTACACACTGTCACAATTCTACATTAAGTTTGCAAAATTAAAGAAATACCAAAAGGATGGAGATGAACTAGTTGTCAGGCACAGTGATTCACCCGCAGAGAATGTGTCCCTTGCTCATGCCAATACACAGCTTTTCTCCTTTACTGAGTGAGTGAGTGAGTTCAGTTTCACTCAGCAATATTCCAGCTATATAGCAGCGGTCTGTAAATAATTGAGTCTGTAAATGGTGCTTTTCCAGTTCATTTTGAATCTGGCAAAAATTATCATGATAATGATAAGAGAAGCTACTGAATTGTCATGTTTTGTTATTCTCTTCACATCAGCTCTTATCTGTGTTTTCCAGCTGATTGAGAAGGCTCACAAGCACAATGCCGAGGTGATCGAGAGGAACAAGCACATTGTGTTTGAAGACTGATGCAAGGCTGAGTGATGGAGTGTGACAGGAGCGTGACTGAGTGACTGAAACCAAACCTTTAGAAATAAATACTGTTCAATTCCTATTTATGTTGTTCTTTCAACATGTTCGGTGGTACTGTGGATGGTGTCTTTATTGCCTTTTCCCCAGATGAATTATATCTGCCTACTACTCTCAGAAGAATGTATTCTTCCGGTGCTGCTGCACAATTATGTCTATCACAGTTATGTCTGATTTATAATATGTTGGGGACGACATACACACAGCAGCAGGGTTAATCCTGATCTTTCATCTTCTGTAGAATCCTGTAGGGTCCAAGAATCCTATGATGTAGAATGCTAGATTATCATTTGTGATTTGTCAGCTCTATAACAATGTTTGTGTGTTCCACCAGGTTCTGCATAACCTTTTTCTGTCCACCATGCAATAAAACTGGTCAAAGTGACACTGAACCCACTTTGATTACTGTATCAATCACATTTAAATCCTACCTTTTAATTCGATAGCTTTTTTACTTCAAATTTTGAGGAAATATGAATAGGAGGTTGTGTGACTTGAAGTTTCTTACAAGCCAACCAGCAGATCTGAATCTTAGTCAAATATAACTGTTGAGATTGTGAAAAAAAGGTAAAAGTGTGTAACCATATTGTCGATAACATCCTGCTACTCATGAGTACACGTCATCTTGTTTTTACAAACGCATGGTAACCCCAGACAAGACTGCGTCCCTCAATCCAATAAAGTTGAACAAAGACATTAGTTGAATGGCTTTATTATGCTCATTGTTACTGTACATACATACATGTAGAGCACACATCAGATCAGAGATGCTGTAAGCACAGGGCTACAGATGAGTATTAACTGGCTGGATCACACCAAGTTCTGACACCTAGGACACAGGCAGACCATGTGAGAGGGTGCCAGCCCCTTTTGGTAGGCCAGATGCTGTACCCTGTTGAGCAGTAATTCGGCTACAAGTAATGTTTAACTGATACATACATTGTTTCAGTATCGGTATTTATTTGTAGTCATTATTTCATGCAAAGAGTGACAAATTAATAAAACTATTTAGCATTTGGCTTGGTTTAATGCCATGACAGAAATTATATTGCTTGTTGATGAGGTGGGTGGGCACCCTCCTAAAACTGTGAATGGCATCTGTTGAGTGTAGCAAATAACCAGGGAGTAACTGGACATTTGAAGTTATACAGCAGGGTTTACCATGACCTACTTCACTAGGGTCCAGAGGACCCACTGTTACATGTCTAATAAGAGGATCCTATAAACTAATGATATGGTGTTGGGTACTGACATGTAAGATTTCACTGTTCCTTTAATTACAGAAAGCTTCAATATCATTTCAAGAATTTGGTAAAATCAACACTATTGTTTTGTCCCCTGGGATGCAACATATGTCTTTGTGTTCATTCTAAACAATCATGCAAGTTTCTGCATGGTGTAAAACCCCGGAAAAGAAACAGGCTCCCCAGTTAAGGGGAAGTAACTCATGGAGATCATGCGCATGCAACAACACATTCACCAAGAATTAAATTACTAAATTTCACAATTATTTTAGAGAAAATATTTACATGCTTAATTTCAAGTCTAGTTGACAAACTGGTTGGATTCGAGACTGTCTACCTGATATGGAAATAGTTTTCTCTTAAATCTTCCCCGATATATACAGTAGAGTTTATGGAGACTGATACAGTATCAGTGATATGACAATGACATGAATACTGTTAGGTCGTGTATACTTGGAGGTAGATAGGTCTCAATCTATGAGTGATCATCAACCAGGATGGAGAAATGTATGAGTGTCTCGATATCCAACATTTACAGAAACCCATGAATGAAAATGAAACTGGTCAGAAGACTAAAGAATTGATGTATTCCTTACTTTGGCATATTTATTGAACTTTGTGATCTAACATTCTGAAAACAAATGTGAGTTTGTACGATCCTAGATATAGAGGATGAATACCACAATCTTCTTGTACCCATGTTCAATGATAAGCCAAACATAAAATTCCAATTTTTGTTAATGAGTAAAGATAAGTCAATCATACAAAATGTGTCCATATTCATATACCACCATTATTGTACAGAAAAAAATAATGTAAATAATAGTTAGAATGTTTGTAACACCTCTGTACTATATATACTATCAGCCCAAGTCCTGTGTTTAAATTAAGACTGGCATCAAAATTATGTATTATTTCGAAATCTGATGTAACATGTATTAGCAGTACAAATATAAAAACATCCTGTGTCCAGTTGAATGGCATTTGTTTTTTAAAACAAATCCCAGTTACAGAATTCCCACATCACATAAATCCTACTACGTAACACAATACTCAGAACTGGGATCCTGTATCATGAAGCACACATTCCACAGGTAACAGCACCAGGTGTCTGTACAATAGTCCTTGTTTGCATAGAAGCTTAAACAATGGTCACAACATGCATTTCCCCAAAATATACAGGTATGTATCTCATGCCAAACAATCGTGTACACAATATACAATCTTCCTCATATAAATAATACCTAACTGTACACATATTAAGTTTATACATCAGGGTTGCCAAATTACTACTGAATATACACAGGAAAGGCAGTGCTGTAAATAGTTAACAATACCAGTGTATATAACATGTCCTTAAATGCAACATAACAACAGCAAAGTGGAAATATTACATTACCACTATGAAAGTATTACCTTTTCTTGTATATCTTGATAATCATCAGCTTCTGACTACTTTCTCTAATACCTTACAAAGTTTACCTCAACATGGGAAAAGATGCTGCCTGTTTAACATAACAATTGCATATTAGAATTATGTCCTAGCTTCAAGTGTACAGGCTATATGAAAACATGGACAGAAAGATGGGCCGTGTATGTCAGTTGTAGACAGAACAAAACTTGTATAACGCTTATGAAAACACGTAATCTGAAAACATAATTGTACAGATACACTTGAACAACATAAAACAATACATTGCAACACTTGCACAATAATGTAACAATCAGGTTACTTTGTAGCACTCTGTCCTGATTAAGACAATGGGAGCATAGACACAGAAGTATTATTGCAGGATGATTAAGTCACAGTAGGGACAATAAGTTACGTATAAAATATGGGAATATGGCTTTATACATCTTCTTAAGTGAAGATGTACAACATTTGGTATGAACATTTTGAAAGCATGTTTCAAGTTCTCCACATTGAGTGGAAAGTTGGGCCAGTAGAGATCTACTGTATCTCCATGGAAACGCTGAGTTCTGGCTCCACCATGGTTTCTGTTGTAGCTTTCATATTATATACACCATGCATCTCAGCAAAGAGCACATCCAGTGATCAAACATCTGCATCAGCTATCAGTCCAATTTCACAGCCTCCATGAACACCTGCATGGTCTGTCATCTTTACTGGCAGCCTGTCACATTAAATGCGCAGGTTACCATACCATGGATTTTGCCTCCATTTGAACATACCTGGTGCTGAACATATATAAATGCTGTGTTACTGCTAATTATGCATCAAACTTCTGTCCCAGAATCCACATTATTTCCATGTATAACCTTTAAGTTCACTTCTTTAGCTTTAACTAAATTTGATTTTTCCTCTGGGGTATTAAGATTCTTCCTGGAGTCAGTCAGTCTGAGGCTCCTACGTGAGCCTTTCCACCTGTTGGTGGTCATACCACTGTCGGGAGTGTCTACCAGAGTCACTAGATTGTTGGGTTTAACTGGCGGCTCTTTCTTACGCCGACGCCGTCGTATCACAACAATTATAATAACTATGATCACAATAATGAAGATGAGTCCCCCAATGGCTGTGGGCACTGCAACATTGGGGACCAAGGGGAATGAAGAGTCGGGTTCAGAGTGAACATGTTCAGTGTCAAGGTGAATGAGGCGCATGTTAGTGCCATTCTTAGGCTCGTCAAAACTGCTGGATGCTCTTGGGGCATCTCGTCTGAAGCGAAGCAGTGATGACCGACGGAAGCGTTGCCGGAGTTTGTCGGAGGGTCCAATGACATAGATCACCTGGAGGTACCACTGGTGTCCCGAGTCCACCTGAAGGCAAGAACAGAGATTGTGATACATATGATGACTGCTGCAAGTAATGAGAAAGAATGGAACAAGGAACTCAACACTTTTCAAGTGGGTAATAGCAATACTTTTCAGATTGATGAAACCAACAAACAAAGCTTAGGCTAAGACAAGCCTTGAAACATAACTGAGGCAAAACATAGGTTTCTGGCATGACTAAATGATGCATCGCTGTGCTGTAACTCGCAGCATCTTAGATGACTTGGCCAACCATGCCCCATATATCTTTAAAATATCTCCAAACTAGTTAATCCATCACATATTCGACTGCTTGGGGTTTTCAGGGTACCCCCATTTAGCCATGCTTGTTCTAGGGTCAACTTTATTGACTGGTAGGTCTGATTCAGTGACTACAATTATAACATGCCATTGTACCCCAATGGCTATAGTATCAGTCCCTGGCTTGGCTTGTCCACTTGATTATAACAGGGCTCGATTTAAGAGAAGTTAACCTACTTCCACCAGGTGCAACCTAAGATAAAAGCCTAGTTGCACCCGCCAAATTCCAGTTGCATTGCTTTTATTGCAATATGTAATGAAAGAAATATGCTATTGAAGTATGTAGATGTTTTATTCAGAAGTTTACCCACACAAAAATTGACTTGCACCTGGTGCAAGTTAAGACTAATAACCAGGTTGCATTTTGTAATATTGGGTTGCACCAGTGCAAGTAACAAAGCACTAAATCAAGCCCTGTATAAATATGCTGCTTTCAAACAGCTGGAATATTGGTGAGTGATGCGTTAACAACAAACATGCATGTGATTTATTCACACAGCTTTAAAACATTATACACAGACGCTTCCCTATTAATTCATCAGAAATGTATACACAGAGATTAACACGAGTCAGTACAGAGAGTAATCTTTGCCTGATGGCAGCCACAGTTGTCCTACCTTGTAGAGAGGATCTACACTCATAGCGAAACCGTCGACCCCGGGCATGTTCGTGAGACCTATGTAGTCCGGGTTCTCAAAGGCCAGCTGGGCCTCGAACGCTACATCGTGGAAGTTTGTCTGGACTGCATCTGGATTCCCACGATCCTACAGGAAACAGTTAATATGTACGATCAGGGCTCCAGATAAGCCGTATCGGCGTATGCACAGATATAAAATATGCACGATACGTTAGGAAATAATTTAGAAAACATAGCAGATACACACCACAGCAATGGTGTATAGTCTAAGAATCATATACAGATGTATTTATCTGAAAACGTATTATTTTATTGTTTATTGACCTGTTTACACAAGAGTAGCAATGTTGTGGTGCATATATGAAATGAAACACAAGATTACTGATACTCCCATTAAATTCCATTCAGTACTCTAAATGTACTCTTTATTGTTTTCCAGTACTTCTATATTGAAAAAAAATATGGAGTACGTACTCCTGATCATGAAACATTATGATGTTACTTGCTTCATAGGTATTGGTACTGGAAGCCGAATCTTGGTGAAACAACAGCCTATCTCAGTAGGTAACAGGCAAAGAAGTTTTAGGTTTGGATTGACAAACTATTGCATCATTGGGTGAGGTTAGGTGAAATTGGGTTTAACGTCGTGCTTGAGAATATTTCGCTCATATGACGACGTGCATGCGTGTGTATGTGTATGTGCGGCTGCTTGTACTAGCCCAGACTGAAGCTGGTTTTATAGTGCTAGCCCACTGAGATACCATGCCGCAGTGAAGCATGAATACCCCACTCAGACACATTATACGGACTTCGAGCTGACCAGTCCTTGTTTTTCCCATTAATGCTGAGGGACCAACGTCTTTGGTATGACTCGGTTGGGGATTGAACCCGTGACCTTCCGCTCTCTGGGCGGGCATCTTTGGGAGGATACCACTAAGGATTAACTTCAGTTGAAGGAACACTGTGGAGACAGGCATGTGTGAGGCCCTGGCACTCCCTCCATCACCTTCGGAATCTGGGTAGCATGCACCCTCTTTCAAAATCCTGGATCAACTCTCCAAACTTGGCAAGCAAATAAACATGAAGGGAAATGAAAAGACAAAGATTTCTTTGATAAAAAGATAAGCTTACCAGAATGAGGAACCTCTGCCTGAGATTGGGACTAGGCTGCATACAGCCGAACTGTGGCCCCTCGTTGTACTCCTCCCCAGTGGGGTCGTATGTGGGGATGTACCCGTCACTACCTGCAACACAATGAAGGCCTGGCTTGATTCGGCCCTTGGTGGTACAGTGCTCATCTCTTCATACATGCTGTATGTTGCTTGATTCCCTTCTTAAATGTTGCCTTCTACTATAACAACAACTTAATATCATTTTTCAGTATCTTTTTTCATTTCCTCATCTGTATCCAAGGCAGCAACAATTAATAAGAGATTCACACTGAATTTAGTAGAACTTTACCTGTACACAGATACACCTTTTCTATTCCCAGTTTGTATGCTGTTTTCAAATCCTGCTCTGGACTCCACAACACCCTGGCATAAATCTTCTGGCCTGTAAACAAAGGGTAGGTGTATCTAACAACAGAATGTATCTTGAATATCTCATTTCCATCCATAATCAAATTGGCATCCATGGTATACAGGTGGTAAATGACCTCATTGGGCTGTTTGTGTTTACCTGGGCCATTTTCCACAAAGTGTTCTTAGTGATAAGACAATTGTATCTCCTACATAGGGGGCGGTGGGGTAGCCTAGTGGTTAAAGCATTGGCTCGTCACGCCGAAGACCTGGGTTCGAATCCCCACATGGGTACATTGTGTGAAGCCCATTTCTGGTGTCCCCCGCCGTGAAGTTGCTGGAATATTGCTAAAAGCGGCGTAAAACCAAACTCAGTCAGTCAGTCAGTATCTCCTACATAGAATTATCATACAGCAAAAAAAACACATTGTAGAGCCACTGAGGAGGTGAGACTTGTCTCCTTGACTGCACAGCTAGTGTTTCTTTTGTTGTTGTCTATTCAACTGGGATACGATGACATACATTGACCAAGTCAGTGAGCTTGACTGCTGGATCCAGTTAGTTGCCTCCTACAGCAAGTATGTGTTGCTGAAGACCAATTCTAACCTGGATCTTCACAGGTCACTCAGCAAGTGAGTGTATTTACCTGGAGAGAATGCCCCGTTGAAGTCCCAGTCATCGTCCGAGGCCTCTGTGGAGTTGGGGCTGAGGAGGAACATCTTGAGGTTGTTGGTGAGCTGGAAGTCTGTGTTGAGGGAGTACACCACTGGGACAGGTCTGTTGGTCTGCTGGAAGGAGATGGGCACCTCGAACCTGCAACACAACACAATGCAACTCAACACAAGCAAAGGAGGTAGTTGGGTTTTACCCTGCTTTTAGCGATATTCCAGCAAAATCAAGTTGGGGGGACAGAAGAAATGGGCTTCACATATTTTACCCTTGTGGGGAATCAAACTCGGTCTTTTGGTGTTATGAGTGAAACCTTTAACCAATAGGCCATTCCACTGCCCCACAACACAACACAAAGACACACCGGGAATCAGTCTGAAGTACAGGGCCCTAATTCCGGAAACGTTCGTAGCCCTAAGAATTCTTAACTTTGACCGTAAGCCAATGTGTTAAGAATGGGCTTAAGAAGTTCGTAGGGCTACGAACATTTCGGGAATAGCTAGCCAGTTCATTATGTAGGTTCGAAGAAATTTGATACATAATGAATAAAAACTAAGGACTCTTTTGGGGGGTTGACAGGCAAAAGTCCAGTAAAAGAAATAATTACACTTGTATGACCTGAGTCTCTGACTTGAATTAAGTTAACACAGGCCACTTGACCTGGGTCCATCTTTCAGGAGCCATTTTTTCATCTTTGCTAGTTATGTTGCTGTCCTTGGGAATATGAGCATGGTTTAGGGACCCTGCAAGTATTGATATTACATCTACTAGTATATTACCAATTATTAAACAAGAATTAAAGTGCCTCACCTCTGTGGCTGTGAGGCAATACAAGGTATGGGATCAATCTTGACGTATCTCTGTGTGGCCTTTACACTGCAGGGGATCAGCTCTATGGTGTAACGTCCTGTGTAGTCCTACAAGAACAACCATGACGGGTCAACCTACAGCCCAATAAACAGTACAACATTATACCGCCAACATGCAGTGCTGGTCTATCTGCTGACATAGTTCTTTTTGTAAACATTTGTAGGAGCTTTCAGTGACAGAGAGCCATAGCCAGTCAACCTGATGCAGTGTACTATAAGGCAGTGATATGCCTCTTTGTATCAAAACATCCATGTAATATAATGAGGTTAAACCAGCTGGTATTAAAAAGTGTGAACTCTTCAAAGACATATCTTCAGGCATGCATTTAGATAAGTCCACTACATTACACTATAATACATAACCTGCAATGAATTGGCAAAAATAAGTTGCCAAAGGCCCCACCCCCACCCCACTCCAACTCCACTGCTTGGAAGGAAAAGATGCTACTTCAACCCCCAGTTTAGCATGTACCTTCAGGTTACAGCTGCTCGATAACCCCTACAATTCTAGAACATACCTTCAGGTTACAGCTGCTCGATAACCCCTACAATTCTAGAACATACCTTCAGGTTACAGCTGCTCGATAACCCCTACAATTCTAGAACATACCTTCAGGTTACAGTTGCTTGATAATCCCTACAATTCTAGAACATACCTTCAGGTTACAGCTGCTCGATAACCCCTACAATTCTAGAACATACCTTCAGGTTACAGCTGCTTGATAATCCCTACAATTCTAGAACATGCCTTCAGGTTACAGCTGCTCGATAACCCCTACAATTCTAGAACATACCTTCAGGTTACAGCTGCTTGATAATCCCTACAATTCTAGAACATACCTTCAGGTTACAGCTGCTCGATAATCCCTACAATTCTAGAACATACCTTCAGGTTACAGCTGCTTGATAATCCATACAATTCTAGAACATAGCTTCAGGTTACAGCTGCTCGATAACCCTTCCAGTTCTTGGATGTAAGTTCAGGTTACAGCTGTCATTTAAGCCCTACAGCTCTAGCCTATACCTTGAGTTAAAGCTGTTTGTGGTACCATACAACTCATGACAGTACATTGAGGGTAAAATTGCCAGTTAAACCCCTCAAACTCAGCGTGTACTTTGACGATTCTGTCATTTGATCCCTATGACTACCCTATACCTTGTTCTTCTAACTACTCAATAACACAATCAGCTCAATCCCGTACCTTTAGGTTAAAGCTACTGGTTGCCCTCCAGAGCTGATGGGGACTGTCAAATGTCTGTTGACTCCACAGCAGCTTCAGGTGAAAGCCGATGGCCAGGCTGGAAGGTGGTTTGATCCTGCTCTCCAGCCCTGGCAGGGTGCTGTGGCTCAGTACATACTGACCTGGGAGTGTACAGGGAAAGAGATTTACATTGATGTCACATGGATGCTTCATGAATAGCTCAATATTTATTGCCTACAAAGAATCATATTCAATGAAACAGTTGGGGGCATGTGTCATCTGGACATTTCCATATCAAAATAATATCATCCTTTCGAGTTGTTTCAAACTTGAAAGAAAACAAAACACTTTGAATATACATTGGATTATGATCAGAAAAGAAGAGTTGATCTAAAATCATGCACACTTTTCAGTTTTACAAACCTAATGGAAATTGAAAAACAAGAGTCATCAGGAAATGACATATTCCCCCGGCGCACACATATTTGAAAGAACAAATTATCTGACAGTAACTTAAAGTCCAGCTTGATGTCTTTTTAGACTAAGTCTAAATCGTTTCGATGGAAATCATGAAAAATATAAATGCCAAAAATGTGTAAATTGCAAAAGGCACCACTTCAAGATCTGAACTGCCAAGTTCTGTTGAAAGATATTAACCGTTTTTTGAATGGTGCTCCAGAAACAACGCCTATTCCTCCCTTTTGAGACCAAGTCTAAATTGTTTCCATGGAAACCGAGAAAAATACAAATGGCAAAAATCTGTAAATAGCAACAGGCACCACATTAGGTCCTGTTTGATATATCTACAATATTTTTATGAAAGATATTGAACGGTTTTCGAGTTGTGCTCCGTAAATGAAACCAATCCCTCCTTTTTTAGACTAAGTCCGAATCGTTTCAATGGAACCAAGAAAAATAATAATGCCAAAAATCTGCAAATAGCAAAAGGCACCACTTTAGCTTATGTTTGATATATCTACCAAGTCTTAAAGAAAGATATTGAACGGTTTTCGAGTTGTGCTCCGGAAACGAAGGTCACCCTCATTTTGAGTTCAAATCGTTTCCATGGAAACCAAGAAAAATAAAAATGACAAAAATCTGTAAATAGCATTACATGCCAGGGGGATAAAAAAAGTAAACCTGTACTGCAAAGTCAGTTTATGTGTCAGTTTCTTGAGATAGTTGGACAACTGGGGATGAGCGTGTTTGTACATATCATAAACATCAACTAACAACTTAAATTTGTCAACATTCAACTTATATTTGTCTATCCGAACTGTGTTCATGTCATTGTACAGGTGCTTTACCTCTGAACTTGGCTGTTGTCCTGAAGTCAATGACAAGTTTGCCATCACTGCCGATGAGTATCCTAAGAATCTGCAGCTTGCCTCCCAGAGTTCCCTCTGTCTCCAGACCAGACTTCCACAAGATGGTGTCATAGTAGAAGGAAAACTCCATCTCTGTGCGATGCTCCAGGGAGCCCCAGCCTACAGGGGCCGTGGCGTACAGGTAAGACACGTATAGAGGAACACGCACAGTCAGATGGGATTGCCCTGTATCCTTCACCTGGAAGTCGGACACAATCCTTCCACCACAGATGTCAACCAACTCGGTCATATGGTACCAGGCATCAAAGGTCCAGATGCAGCTCTTCAGGTTGAGGTGTTTGTACAGAGATAGGGTCTTCTCTTCTCGCAGGTCATCATCAAACTGGTAGGGGAACTCATGTCCGGGCCCATAGGGTAGAGAAGTCACCAAGCTTTCCATCAAAGAAGCCTTCATCAATGAGAGGCTCTCGTTCCTCTGCTGTGATGATGTTGGAGCACACATGTTGCTGGCGATAGATTGGCTCTGCCAGAAGGAACCGTAAATTGTGTAAGGGGAAGGTGGAGATTAGAGGCAGCATGCCATCTTGATGGGGAATCTTCACCGAGATGTGGATTGTGTTTGGGTGGTCAAAGTCATCAGGACCAACATACTCTAGGTTTGCTAAAAATGACTGAGCTTGGTAACTGTAAGGATTGCTGCCAAACGCTGGAGATTTACAGATGCCATTATCACTTCCTATTGTGACAGGTCTGCTCTTGAGCGGAACACCTGGGTTCCCGTTCTCATGTCTCGGTTGGGCAACACATCGGACCTGGAAGCGAGAGCGGAAGTACACGCTATCCAGGACGATCTTGTTGACGTCTGTGAACAAGGTGGTGTCTGAGACCTGCATGAATGGTGGCTTTGATCCGTCCTCCTCCTCTGGTAGGGCCACCTCCCACATGTACAGGAGGCTGGACTGGTTGATGCCAGCCTCCTCACAGAGCATATGGGTCTTGGTGAACGTTGGGTAGTGTTCATCACATGGCTGCAACACACAAGTCACATCATTCATAGTAGTGACAGACACACAGTGTTAACGGGGCACCTGTTGATCAGTACACTTTCAAACTGGGTACATTGCCGATAGACACTGAAATGCTCATAGGGTAGACATTTTACCTAGAGTTTAGATAATGAAATGAATGAGAATTAAAACATCAAGGGCTTCAGGATAAAACACAAAATGGCTATTGACTTACATTAGACAAACTATTAGTAGAGAGCATGTAGAGAAAGCCAACCTGGGACATTTTCATGCCATGGGTGGTGGAGTAGCCTAGTGGTCAAAGCGTTTGCTCACCACGCCGAAGGCCCGGGTTCGATTCCCGACATGGGTACAATGTGTGAAGCCCATTTATGGCTCACTCACTCATTTCATTCCAATACAGCATTCATAAGTACTATACATAAAAGATTTTGGTTTCAAGTTTCTTTTGTAGGTTTGGGATACTCACTGTTATGCAGACAAGTGGATACCCGGGAGATGGGTCGATCTTAGTTCCCAGTTCAGCATCATCATAATTCAGCAGAGACACAACCTACAATGGAGACATCCATGTGTTATATATAATAATTCTCCAGACACAACCGTCCCATGTCCTATATAACATAACTCAGCAGAGACACAACCTAAAACACACTGATCCCATGCAACACATTGTCACAGCGTCACACAAACAATACAGCATGTTGTTAAACATCCGGAGCATGCATTAGAGATACCCTTTAGGTATCATCAGTTTGTAATTACAAATCGATTCCCCACATTGGTACAATGAGTGAAGCCCATTTCTGGTGTCCCCTGCTGAGATATTGCTGAATATTGCTAAAAGCTGTGTAAAACTAAACTCACTCACTACATTACAAAACAAATACACACACAGAATTATTTGCATGAATTTGTTTTCAAAAACAATCAATAAGTAAATATTGCCACTGTCCCAATTGAGAGTGTATGACGTACCACAGGTGGGGCTGGAAGAATGATGCTCCCAGAGACTTCGTTGTCCAGGATTGTGATGGTGGTTGTCTTGACGGACCCAAACACAGCACCCTCGGGGTCCTCTGGGCCGAGCATCAGGGTGAAGGACTCATGCCACTCTATGTCACTGTTGTACAGCACATCCACAACAAAGTCCAGCTCACTGACACCTGGAGATTGGAGAGTCATGCAACAGTTAGATGCTTCTCTTAGGATGATTAACACTCAGGTCAAATCGATTCAAGACAAAGCTGTTGTATTAAACTGGCTGCCCAAGTCCACAACAGAAGTTGTAGCGGTTTATGGACAAGAAATCGACCTTATGAAATTTCGCTATGGACACGAAGTCGACCCACGGTAAACTCTGATGTTGAAAGTGTTTCTAGAGTCACTCTAGTCCGCTAGTAGGTGTTGTTTTAACATTTTCCATGAACCGAGTTCACTCAAAATGTCAAAAAATGTTATCAAGAATGAGGAACATAGTTCACTCGACATAGATTCTAAAAATGTCATAGAATCAATGTTATCAAGAATGAGACTAGTTTTTTATGGATATACAACTTCTTTATTCTATATAGAATAAAGAAGTTGTATATAGATTAAAAATAGCTACCTCAGCCCTATAGAATTAGATAAAAATAGTCCTCATTCTTCATCTACCCAACTTCTAGAATGCCAATCAAAGAAATCAATGTTATCATACACATATGAGAGTGAATTTCACAATGATTAACATATTTAAGGAAGGAACTCGGGGCAGATTGCATTCTAGTTCGAAATGGCATCTACATGTTGTGGAGGAAGATACCTGTGTGTTGGTGGATTTATGAGTGAAGTGAAATTGGATATCCTGGAAGTGCACAGAAAAGAAGTGTAATTTCATTGCGCCAACTGTCAATGACATTGTGACGATGGTGAAAGGTGACCATGCTCATGCCCATGTCCAAGTAGACATAAAGGTAAGCATCTTGTCAAGGAATATGTTACTAAGGAAAAATATAAAGTAAAATAGATATATCAGATCTGAATACTGTAATTGACCATGTTTTGTATATCGTTTAATAGGTTTTGTTAACAATTCTAACAATTTATATATAGCAGTAGATTGGTGTAACATGGTCTGTGTAAAAGAAGTAAAAATAACTCTACTTTTATTATCTTTCAGATGAACCAGAGAGTTTGCAAATGGTGCATCTCACCTACTTCATGTTGGATGATTTTGTATACAAAAAAATATGGACCAAATATAGTACTTTTCTCCTGTTGTCTGTGCTCTCAAACGCGCATAATCCGGATTATCGCCTGCGTGAAAATGGACAGGACGTCTGTAAACATGATTTAGTTCCGAGTAGTAAATGTTCGGTTCGGAATAAATGCCGTGTAACTGAGAATGGATGACACGAATAAAAATTCCGCACATACGGCAAATATTCCATCGAACAGGAACAAATACCGTAGGCCTAACCTATTCCAGTCATTATTGAATGCAAAATAGACTCATCCAACTTGTCACCATCCGGGATGTCTACTAACTTCAAGTTGGTTACATGTTGACTGTAACCTGGCTACTAACTGTAACTTGGTTACATGCTGACTGTAACCTGGCTACCGATTAACTCTAACTTGGTTACATATTGAATGTAACCTGGCTACTGACCAACTGTAACTTGGTCACATAATGACTGTAACCTGGCTACTGACTGACTGTAACTTGGTTACATGTTGACTGTAACCTGGCTACTGACTGTAACCTGATTAATGAAGGTAACTTGGTTACATAATAACTGAACTCTTTTTAACACAAGATTCATTTAGAATCATCAGTTAAGCATTCTGGGAATCTTCAATGTATTTTCATAAAAAATTTAAGTAACTTTCACACATGATAATTGCTTCTTGATAGCCACATGATTTGGAGGAATATCTTTTTTCCTTTCCGTTCCCCCCGCCCCAATTTTTGAGACCACCCCAACAAACAAAACCCTCTTTTAGACACTTTATGATGTGTGTGGAAGTTCCTCTTTACCGAATAAATTCTGTGTGTCCGGACGAAGTAATTGTTCATGCACTATTACAGGAACAAATGTTGGAATGAAAAGTTCCACCGGAACTTTTACTATGGGGAACCAAATCTTTTTACGTCGACCTTTTTTCTTAACTGAACGTGACATTTCACCCAAGGGTCGACGTCCTGTGCAGACACTGTTGTTGTAGCCGTATCAACAGAGTATATGTCGTTATCACTAGAGTATATGTCGTTATCACTAGAGTATATGTCGTTATCACTAGAGTATATGTCGTTATCACTAGAGTATATGTCGTTATCACTAGAGTATATGTCGTTATCACTAGGGTATATGTCGTACACAACCTTGATCCCATGCAACACATTGTCACAGCGTCACACAAACAATACAGCATGTTGTAAACATCCGGAGCATGCATTAGAGATATCCACATCAGAGTATATGATTCCCACATTGGTACAATATGAAGCCCATTTCTGGTGTCCCCTGCTGAGATATTGCTGAATATTGCTAAAAGCTGTGTAAAACTAAACTCAATCACTACATTACAAAACAAATACACACACAGAATTATTTGCATGAATTTGTTTTCAAAAACAATCAATCAGTAAATATTGCCACTGTCCCAATTGAGAGTGTATGACATACCACAGATGGGAGAGTGTATGACGTACCACAGGTGGGAGAGTGTATGACGTACTACAGGTGGGAGAGTGTATGACGTACCACAGGTGGGGCTGGAAGAATGATGCTCCCAGAGACTTCGTTGTCCAGGATTGTGATGGTGGTTGTCTTGACGGACCCAAACACAGCACCCTCGGGGTCCTCTGGGCCGAGCATCAGGGTGAAGGACTCATGCCACTCTATGTCACTGTTGTACAGCACATCCACAACAAAGTCCAGCTCACTGACACCTGGAGAATGGAGAGTCATGCAACAGTTAGATACTTCTCTTAGGATGATTAACACTAAGGTCAAATTGATTGAAGACACAGCTGTGGTATTAGATTGGCTGTCCATAACAGAAGTTGTAGCCCTATCACTAGAGCACATGTCATTATCACAAGAGTATATTCATCCCATGTTTTAGACAAGTGGGATGAAACCTCATCAGAGATGCATAAAACCATTTGGACTCCTTCTGATATTGTTTCTGAATGTTACAACCTGCCATTGTAAAAGGATTCAACCAAACTGAAAGTTGTTAGAAAATAGTAATAGTAATAGTCCGCTTATATGGCGCTCATATCCAGGCACATTGCCTGCTCATGGCGCTACGTACATTACTATTCCCTGTCATAGGACATTATCTTTCTTTCCATTACTTTTTCAACTCTCTGGGGATCATACAGCCATGCTGCCTACATTTTACAGCTGGGTGAACTGAGACATGTGGATCTAAGTATCGTGTCTAAGGATACTACACAAATGTGCCCACCTCGAGACCCTAACCTAGGTGCGTTCACCGGGGATCGGACCCAGGCCTTCAGCGTGAAGTAAATAACTATTAATTTGACTGAAGTTAACGTGTGCTGTGTCATGTGACTTTCATCTACTCGTAAATAATACGCTGCTCTTTGATTTGTGAAGGGATGCAAGAGTTTCTTCATGGTGAGATAAAACAGATGTATTTCCAGCTCAGATATTCCTCCCCAGGCAAGACAAGCAGCATTTTGTCAAGATGACATGAGCCAATCAGATTAAAACGTTCTGACTTAACATGGTAACATGATGAACTATGCATAGACTGGAATTTGTTTATGTTACAGAAGATGCTCATGTCTAATGTTAGAGCTTTTTGAGAGATAACATGACATTAGTTTCATACAAGGACCATCATAGGATAACAACTTATTTACTGACCACAAACAGCGTTTCAGACAAGGACCATCATAGGATAACAACTTAGTTACTGTCCACCAACAGCGTTTCAGACAAGGACCATCCTAGGATAACAACTTATTTACTGTCCACCGACAGCGTTCAGACAACAACCATCATAGGATAACAACTTATTTACTGTCCACCAACAGCGTTCAGACAAGGACCATCATAGGATAACAACTTATTTACTGTCCACGACAGCATTTCAGACAAGAACCATCCTAGGATAACAACATATTTACTGTCCACCGACAGCGTTCAGACAACAACCATCATAGGATAACAACTTAGTTACTGTCCACCGACAGCGTTTCAGACAAGGACCATCATAGGATAACAACTTAGTTACTGTCCACCGACAGCATTTCAGACAAGGACCATCATAGGATAACAACTTAGTTACTGTCCTCCGACAGCGTTTCAGACAAGGACCATCATAGGATAACAACTTATTTACTGTCCACCAACAGCGTTTCAGACAAGGACCATCATAGGATAACAACTTATTTACTGTCGACCAACACCAACGGCGTTCTCAGCGTTTCAGACAAGGACCATCATGACAAAGGACCATCATTAGGATAACAACTTATTTACTGTCCACCAACAGCATTTCAGACAAGAACCATCATAGGATAACAACTTATTTACTGTCCACCAGCAGCGTTTCAGACAAAGACCATCATCGGATAACAACTTATATACTGTCCACCAACAGCATTTCAGACAAGGACCATCATCGGATAACAACTTATTTACTGTCCACCAGCAGCGTTTCAGACAAAGACCATCATAGGATAACAACTATACAGTGCACTCTGTCAAACTTCGGACTCTGTCTTTCTCGGATTGCTGTATAAACAGGACTGAACTCACGGTCGGCGTAATCCTTCTTTGTTGTCATAATAAAAAGTTCTGTATCTCGGACTCTCATTATTTGGTTCGGACCAAAGTGTCGGCCCGATAAGGTAGTTACATGTAAAAACATTGCTATATAATTCGGACTGAGCAGGAAGTCCGGCTTGGCCAATAAACCTTGAATAAACATTCCGTTGATTGGTTTGTGTATTTTGTCTTATTTACTTAGCAGGAAGTCCGGCTTGGCCAAGACTGCGTGGTCTAGCGGTGAGCAGCTTATTTACCTTTGATCGACTAACACCAATTGTAAACTATAATTGAGCCGATCATGTCAACTCAGTGTCAATGTCACTATGCATTTAAGATGCCATCAGACACAGTGTGATATCAATCAGTTGTAAGAAGCGATTTTATTGGATAAAGATTGGTTTCTAATGGCGGCTTTTCGCCACAGTCTGCTATAAAGGGTCGTGATTGGTCAAAATCAGACACATGACCTAAGGCAGCCAATCATATTACGGCAATGGATACGGTCCTAAATAAGCGAAAACTTTTAGATTTAGACAAAGTTTTGGGTAAAATAATGCTATTCTGAACATATTAAGTAAGAAATTGCTACCTATCGTAAATTATGGAGCGTATTAGACTTATCGTGCTAGGCTATGACCTGTGACAAAATGCTTCATGTATATATTTTAGCATTGAACATCGTGTCTGGCGTGAAGATTGGTGGCGAGAGCGAGATGTCACTTGTCAGTGACTTGACTTACATTACATGATCGCACAAAAGATGGAAATAGTAATTTTATATATGCGTTTGACAACTTTTATGAATGTTGTTGTTGATTTCATTCATTAGTTTATTCAATTTATTTCATGAATTCCTCGAAACATCGTTACTTTGCTCTTTGACAATGTTATTGTGGACCCGCTGCGAAGCAGGTGTCGAGAATCGTTGTTTTCAATAACATTCGCGAAAAATAGTTTATAATTTTAATTCTGCTGATAATAGGGAGATAACTCCATTAAAATCTGTGTACTTAGGACTACTGTATAATTCGGACTTTTAGTGGGTCCCAAGCTGGTCGAATTAGACAGAGGTGATGGTGATGATTGTCTCCTTCATGTCCCCCAGCTCAACCTCGCTCTCCTCGCTCCCCCAGGCATTACTCAGTCGCAACAGGAAGTCCTCTTCAGGCTCAAACTCATCATCATTCACTATACCCACAGTGCAGTTCTTCAGCTGGAAGTGGAAGACAACATTTCAAGTTATTACAGCAAACATTGTCACCTACAGTACTACTCAAAACCCTCTCTTGAGGGTACTAGCTGTTTGTGTTCAGATTACTTTTCATGAATCTGTTTTTGCTGAAAGGTACATGTGGTTACCCCTTCTAAGGTATTTGTCTCTGGGCATTATTGTATATTTCAAGTTCACTGCAGAAAATATTGTCAAACAATACACCACCATCAAACTCCATCTAAAGCTAGTTGGTGCAGGTTATCAAATTCACTTCATGAATCTATGTGTTTCTGTCCAAAAGCAAAACTTTGTGAAACCTTAATAATCGATTGTGTAATAGAGCTCATATCACCAAAGTTATGGTAAAGATTTTAAGACCATTATTTAAAAATACCTTTGTTGGCTTCATATCTAAGCATAATATAGAAAGGGTTCAATGGATGTGATCTATGATCTGTTTATGTTGCATCATGTGGAGACTCACCCTGTCTCCTGGCTGGAAGGTTATCCTGGAAGCATTGGTGAAAACTCTCTCATCGTAGTCCATCATGACCTGGGCTGTCTTCTGTCGCGTGTAGCATATCACGGAGGATGTTTCCGTCACGTCCCCAGTTCTCATTATGGTCACGTTCACTGTCTTGTTCTTCTCATCCACATAGTAGCGGTCTTGGACAAATGTCATCTTTGGAACTGGGAGAAACAGCACAAATTGTTTTATCCAGGAACAATTATATCAACATAGCGCTGTACACAGAGAGTATTAAGGCTGGTAATTGTCACAAAACAGCATAACCTCTGTATAGTCAGATTCTTTGATTTTTAATGAATCTTATATAAAAACATTTTTAAGCACTTTTCTCAGCTTGAAAATGGTGTAAAAATATACACCAAAACATTGCACTATGCAATAAACAACAAGTTGTTATCTCTAAAGTTGTAGGATTCAGTACTGACTCACCAACTTCTAAAATGCTGATCAAACAATTACAGCTATAGTGCTAAGATCAATGCAGTCTTAACATCCATCTTTTAACACTGGCTTACAGATGTCATAGTGCTAAGATCAAGGCAGTCTTAACATCCATACTTAAACACTGGCTTACAGCTGTCATAGTGCTAAGATCAAGGCAGTCTTAACGTCCATACTTTAACACTGGCTTACAGCTGTCATAGTGATAAGATCAAGGCAGTGTTAACATCCATACTTTAACACTGGCTTACAGATGTCATAGTGCTAAGATCACTTTTGAAATGGGTCCCTGTTATGAAAGACAGGATTAAAACTAAAAAGACAGGTGTGGTGAGTGAGTGAGTGAGTTTAGTTTCATGCCGCACTCAGCAATATTCCAGCTATATGGCAGCTGTCTGTAAATAATCGAGTCTGGGTCACTGAAGATCAATTCTAACCCGGATCTTCACGGGTTGACAGGTGTGGTAAACAAGGAAGACCTACTGTCTAGCTTTGTGTCGCTGATAACCACAGTAGAGATGTAGGGCTCTGCCAGGCTGCTGCCCAGGGCGGAGCTGAGGAACACTACGAACGTCTCGTTACCCTCAAGGCGAGGGTCAAAGTCATCGTCCAGCAGGGTCAGCTGGCACTTCTGTTGTAGAAAACACAAGGATTATTTACACATAAACACGATAGGCAGACACATTCAACAGGTAGTAGTCATGCTGGATTATCCTATATTGCCACATTGAAATGTTACTGAGAGAGGAGAACCCTGTGTATATGTGGTTGTAGGTTCCAGTAACTGGATTAAAGAGACTGTAGGTTGTATGGAACTTTCAGTTTCAGTAGACTAGGTTTCAGGATAACTCTTGATGTTGGTGGACAAAAGGGTTAAAGGAAACCTTAGCTTTCAGTGCACTGTCTTAAATGAAACTTTAGATTTCTGTATGAATACTGGTCATAAATGTCAATGTGTTAATCTCACCTGTGCAATCTGCCCCGGTCCGAATGTCATCTGACTGGAGGTGGGGACATAGTCCTGTCCAGGTGTAGCTGAAGCAGGGCTGGAGAGTCGTGTTGCACACCATACTGTGGTAGAGTGACTCAGGTCTGTCCCACCCCGAACAACCTCCACCTCAACATTACCAGCGTTCTCAGCAAAACTGTAGGACGGTTCCGACAGGAACACAGTAGACTCTGGCAGGAACAGAGAACATGAAGACCACTGGTCACCCACAGTTCATCGCATGACATTTCACATCATAATGTATACACAACATTGATTCATTGTGTATTGGTCCTTTCATTAATACCATCAGACAATTTAGTAATTGTGAGAGCTTCAGTGTAAACCCATTCAAACGGTTACAATTATGCAAGCATCAAATGTTTGGAAAAGTAGCCACATTTTGATTGTCATGTACCCTGCCATGGCTTTCACTTTGAGATCGTGAACTTAACAATGTGACTTACGGTCATTGGGTCCCTCTATGAGGACGTTGGCCTTGGTGAGGGAGCCCAGGGAGGCTGGGATGGAAGGATCAAACATCAAGCCGAGCTCAAACAATGATCTGCACATGAACGCATCTCAACAGCAAACACATCATGTCCTGATTAACAGGGAAATGGAATATACATCAATGATCTGCACATTAAAGGGCATGGAATATACATCAACAGCAAATACATCATGTCCAGATTAACAGGGAAATGGAATATACATCAACAGCAAATACATCATGTCCAGTCCAGAAATGGAATATACATCAACAGCAAATAATCATGGAAATGGAATATACATCAACAGCAAATACATCATGTCCAGATTAACAGGGAAATGGAATATACATCAACAGCAAATACATCATGTCCAGATTAACAGGGAAATGGAATATACATCAACAGCAAATACATCATGTCCAGATTAACAGGGAAATGGAATATACATCAAATTGGTCCCTCGCAACCTCAATTATTTGTAGGACATTTAGCTTGAACATTACTAAATTAAACAACCAGTCCATACCTTGACATCACAAGTGGCCTCTGACACACCAGAAGGGAAGACGACTCTGTAAGAGTTGCTGCGTCCACGGGAGATGTAGTCGGACCCTGACTCCAGGCCTGTGAGGGAGCTGCCAGTGGCTGTGAGGGCCGTGGTGAAGCAGATCACAGACACAGTCGTACTCAGGTCACCTGCAAGGAATTGTGAGCAGTATAATGAAGGGGTTATTAACAGGGGTTTAGTTCACCAGTTATATAATAGGTGTATAGCTCACCACAGTTAAGAATAGGGGTTTAGTTCACAGCTCCCAATAGGGGTTAGTTCACCACAGCTGCCAAAAGGGGGTTTAGTTCACCACAGCTGCCAATAGGGGTTTAGTTCACCACATCTGCCAATAGGGGTTTAGTTCACCACAGCTGCCAATAGGGGTTTAGTTCACCACAGCTGCCAATAGGGGTTTAGTTTGCAACAGCTGTCAATAGGGGTTTAGTCAACTACAGTTGTCAACAGGGGTTTAGTTCACCACGTTCTTCAACTTGACCTGTTGACCTTTGTTGGCCATTGTTCATGTTTGACACCGTACATACCTTTGTGACCCTTAAAAAATGGACATATACCATTCAAGATAAATATCCTTGACGTAACACATTTTTGTTGAAAAATTAGAAAAGAATCCAATGCTTCTGATGCAAATTAGACTCGTACCTGATCTTGTCAACTTGGCCATCACATAAACATCAGATTCATTCACATGGTAAAGGCCCTTCTCAAACTGGATGGTTGGTTCTGAAAATGCAAATGTGTAAAGTAAGCCCATTTATTTTATCACTTTGTCCCACATCAACATATACAACTACTGAATGTAAAATTGTGAAGATATCCAACTGCAAACGTCTTACCATCCTCTGAATCAACCAATGTGACGGCCATCTTGGCATTGTGTCCAAGCAGGGCATAGGAGGGGCTGACCAGCTCTATGTAAAAGGTCTCAGGGCCTTCATAGATGGAGTCATCGTTGATAATGATGGTGCATGTTTTGGAGTCCTGCCACTCATCAAACTGAACCTACAATAAACATAGCAATTTTAAGTATTAATTACCATGAAAATTGTAAAGATTATAGACAAAAGGCAAAATAATAATCTGTATCAGGAATGAATACTAGTATCTTCTTTCCATTCAACATCAACTTACCTGTCCTGAGTGTTCAATGAAGTCCTTCTGTCCTGGTTTAGCCCCCGTCATCACAGATGTGGAAGAGCCAGGTATGGTCTTGCAGGTGACAATAGAGTACTACAACGCAGAGCAGCAGAACCTCAAACAAGGGTGGGGTTGACAGGAGCAACAGAAATATATTTTTTGAAAGACAAATCCAAAGGACAAGAGGAAACCTGTTGCAAAGTCATGGAAAATATTTCCTTGTGAAAACTGTTTGATGGGAATAAGTTCCCAGAGAAGGAAGTACAAAGGGACGTTTTTAATACATGTACAGATATTTTTTTGTTGTCCTAGAAAAAACTGCCAGAGATGGACATGAACCAACCTGCTTGAGATTGCCAGCCCGTGTGACTGGAACCTGAATGAGACCCTCAGTCTCGGACACGTTCATCAAGGGATGCTGGAAGCTGATCACTGACCACATGATGTGGAACACATTGCCAGGGACTATATTGGGCTTGGCATCCATGAGGTCAAAGGTGAAGCTGTCCTGATACCCAGTTGTCCGGTCAGTCAAGACATACCTGACTCTGCCACTGTCAAGGTCATCTGGAAAACAGGAGGAGTCTGTGAGCAGTGTTTCACTGTTTGTGGGATACTGAACAAGTACATTAAGAATAGGCTTCATGCATTTATAAAAAAAACCCAATTAGTTATGAAGTTGTATAGTGCACTTTTTAATAAAAACTGCTCAAATACACTTTGTCCATACCGATCTAGATTATTAACCTGTTCAATGGATACGCTTACAGAGATCTATTTAGTAGCCTAAGAAACACTCAGGATTCAAGCTGCTGAACACAGTCATCCATCTAACTGCCTTCTACTTAATTTCACTTGTGACCTGTGCACTGTACATAGGACCATGTGCCATATACTGCAATAACCAATCTTGTTAAACCACAGTTGAACACACTCGTGGCCAGAACCCTCATTGGAAACAAGCACCTGCATAAGTACTAGTTCCAGCACTGTAATTTGTGAGCACGCCCTTATGTACATGTGTATATTATGTCCAAAGGTTAAGTGTCAAATTGTTTCATATGACTAAAGTTGATCTGTCTAGAGTTCCCAATTCTTTCGAATGACTCTACTTAATGTCTAGCATGTAGACCAGTTAAAGTTATATGAAAGAATCAGGAGTTCTTAAACATCTGTTTGAGTAGTTTACTTTCGTGCCAGTCCAACCACTCCATTACCTTGTGTGAAAGATCCGAGAGCACCCCCTGGGTTGGCAGCATATTCTAGGCGGCCATGTTGTGGGGACTTCTTGATGACATAAACGATATTCTCTGCTAGGGAGTCCTCATCTGTGGACTTCAACTCTCTGCTGGTGATCAGATTGGACACCTGCAATAGCAAATACAGTGTGTCATTATGGGACTTATTTACAACTACTCATTTGTGCCTCTGTTCAGTACAACCTTTTTGTCCTGATTAGAAGTGATCCAAAATGTAAACAGTGATTGGTACACTTTTTATTTCTGAGCAGAATAATGATTTCTAACTGTTCATATGAAACTCTATGCGTTGTAGTGGGGTCGATCACCTCGTTGTTTACTACCTACCAATCAATTCAATTGAACCAAAGGGTATCACATTGTTATTCAGATTGTGTTAGCTATTCTGTGCAGGCTCTCACCTCGGACCCAGAGAATTCTAGGAACTGTAGACCCACGTTGGTCTCCATTATGGGGCTGCCATCATCAAGGGCCAGGACGTTGATCTCAAAGTCCTGAAATAAGTAATTTTCTTATATTCACAATATTCTCCACATACATACAATAAATACGCTTACAGGTGTTTGCAGCTATAAGGCTGATGTCACAACTCGAGTATGTCATGTTAATACATCAATTTGTGGATCTCGAACTTCAAGGTCTGGATGAACAAGATATGACTACTCTATAGCACTACTACTGCTATATCCATCACTTGATCAATTTCAACAAAGTAATGGAAGATGCTTTTTCTATGAACATGTCTTTACTACAAGACTATCAGTAATACACCCCACATTTGGGGCACTGACACAAAATGCTCCCATTACGTTTTTCTGTGGAGTACTGATATCAGTCTTATGTCCTACCTATGGAGCACTGATATCAGTGATATGTCCTACCTGTGGAGCACTGATATCAGTGATATGTCCTACCTGTGGAGCACTAATATCAGTAATATGTCCTACCTGTGGAGCACTTATATCAGTGATATGTCCTAACTGTGAAGTATTAATATCATTGATAAGTCCTTCTCATCGGGTACTGATATCAGTTGAATATCCTTTTTATGGAGTAGTGATATCAGTCGTATTTCCTACCTGTGGAGTAGTGACAGGCTCAGTTACTTCTGCTTGGTCTCCCAACATAACAAACTTGTCGTTAGTGCCATCACTAACAACAAAAGAGAAATTGTCTTCCAGAGTCTCACTGCCATCATGCTTGTAGCTGATCCTGTTTTCATATATATCCTCCATGCTAAACTTGTCTGTAGACTCAAACATCTCCTCCTCTCTTGCCATGTCAACAGTGCCATGTACAGGTGGTTGTACAATCTTGAAGATCACCTCGCTCTCCTGTGATGTAAACATTAACCATGGAGACTCTTCACTAAACATTTGCAACTATGTAATAACTAGTAAAACTGTGTTGGTGTTCATTTGTTCTCCTGTTCCTATAGTAAATATCACTTGAGATGGTGACTCACACAGCTTCTGTTGGCAAGGATACCCATTGGATCATATCTACAACTTCAGAGGAACCCCAATAGTGAGAGATTTTTATATTTTTCTTTCACGAAATTCATAGGAGATAAGAAACATTATGCCTTTATCATCTAGGGGCATTTTGCAAACATGTCTTATTTTGAAAATCTGACAGCTACAAAGAAATAATGCTGATGATGGCATTTTGATATTCAGAGGACATGGCAAAACAGGTCCCTACCTTGGTGTCATCATCCGTAGCCTTGAGATCAAATTCTGTGATGAGTTTTCTGATGCCCTCCTGAGCAGACAGCCCCCTGTTGGTGACCATTGGTAATGCATCATCCACCGGGGAGATGGTGATGTAGAACGTCTTCACCATCTGGGCAAATGGTAACGCTGTTAACTAATCTCATGCAATAGATGCACATACATGGCCTGTTCTCAGTTCACAACATACATCATGCACACCTTAACACATCAATGACATGTTTGACACTGTTTCATTTCCATCACACACCATGATATAGTATCTAAATTCTGCAGTCAATGCTTTCAAGCTCAGGTAAAACCCTATTAATTTTAACATTTATGTTTTGCAAACAAAAGTCTATATAACCCATTTATCAGGTTATGTCAGAGTTTTTGCATAGCTTACAGTGTTAGCCCCGTCTGTAACTGAGAAGGCAAACTTGTCCATGTAGACCTCCAAGGGGCTGGTGTGGACGTACACCACGCTGCGGGCAGCCAGATCAGCCTGGGTGAACTCCGTCACTGGAACATCTGATGTCATAACAGGTCCATGTCAGAAAGTATATATCTGAACTGAATCATGATACTTGGTGTCACAACAGGGTAGATGTCTGTCAGTATGCATGTTTTCTTAAGGATACAAACATGGCAAGCAGTATGGCAACACTGGTTTCACAAGAGTGCATGTCAGACAGTAAGCATTTGTCGTGAACTATTAGTGTTCTCTTACCAAGTTATTTATATTTCTACCTATTTCTTCTGACCAGTGTAGAGAAAACATGTTGAGAAAACTTTATAATATCTGCATTAAGAAGGATCCAGTGTACAGTTACTCAGCTGCCCGCCTCACCTCGTTCTCCGGTCAGCTCCAAGTGCCCCAGATTGGGCCCTCGAAGATGGTGTACTTGAGGCTCCCCGGCTCAGAGTCCGCATCAGTGTAGGAGAGGAAGGCTGTGGAGATCTTCTTCCTGCGGTCCCTCCCGTACAGTCAGCTCCTTGTTCACCTGCTCCACGGGGGGCAGCCGGTCCTCTGTAATACACAACTAAGAGGTAAACTCAAACATTGTAAAATGTATTTGCCAAAATGTCTGTTTTCTTGACTGATCTGATAAATACCTTTCTCCTAGAAGACAGATATCTCATGATGCTACAACAAATAGTCACAACTGTTTGCGTGAGTGTTGTTTGTGTTTGTCAGTGTTTCACAACTTTATCAGCACATTCCAGCAGTATGACAGCAGTCTGTAGATGATCGATGAAGGACCAGTCAGTCATGTGATTGACATCACAGGCATTAATCTACTTAATTAAAATAGGAAGACACCTGTATTGTTAGTTGCCTGAGTTGCAGAAGACCAATTCTTTCAGAGAGATTGAGTTAATAGAATTGTGAGGTAAGTAGCAGCTGCATCACGGGATGTCTTAAGAGCTTGGTTCTCATCACTTCTTGGGCTGCATGCATGTTACACTAAATAAAGTGTGGACAGGGGTATCACAAAAGACAAACATGAAGACAACTGTCACATTCTCATCAATTGTACTCTATTGTATAAGTTGGATATATGTTCATCATTCCTACCTAACACAGTGATGTAGAAATCTTGATCGATGAGCTCATTGCCTTCTGGGTCTGACAACTTGAACTTGAAGATGATGTTCCCTGTAGACTCCCCAGGCTCGTGTCTGTACAGGATATAGCCTGGAACATGACCATGTGGCGTAGATATTTTAGCATAACACAATAGAAATTCAGTTTACATATTTTATTCTGGTTCAAAATTCTAATTCAAGCTAAACTTTATAGACAGAATTTAGCAACTGGATAGGAAATATTGATCCATTCACTCGACAAGTCAATGTATAAACTCTCATGTCTGCTACTAGGATATGTTTACTTTTGAAACACCTTTACAATACTGCCATTATCTAATACATAAAAATGTAATGACCAGAGAAACACCAGTATTGATTATCCAGCTGCAAAATACCTGTGAAATTATATAAATCGCTGAAATTAAGCAATGACACCATATGTTCATGAGAAGGGTAATATGTAAGTAACATCTTACTTCCTACATATGAATTAAATCTTTCCTGTACAAGTAGTATCTCACTATTTCTCATCCTTTCTTACCATTATCAATGTCTGCCTGTGTGAATGACTTGGCCCTGCCCCTTGCAGACAAGCGATACTGAGTCCCACCCTTCTTGTACAGCAGGTGACCTGCACTGGGGTCCCGCCGTAGGGTGTAGATGATGGCAGCGTCGTCACTGTCGACATCAGTTGCCTTCAGGATATGGGGCTTAATAGGAGTCGTAGAGCCTGAATTCAGGAGTTAAAAGAATGGATTAAATAATATGTACCTAAGCATTTGCAAAGAATTAGGTAAGAGTGACTCTGACTTGGTCAGAATGTTCAACCATGCATGTATGACTCCACTGTTATCTATGGCTGTTGACTGAAACCTCGTCAGTCTAGGAAACACTGTTGGGACTTGTGTATACACATTTCATTGAAGTATATATGTTTTGTTAATACAGAAAAGTGATAATCTGGATTATTTTACAGGTGAGAATATTACCACGTGGATTAATTGGATGCCAGTGTATCTGATACTGCATTCTGAAAACAGAAATATTGGAAAGAGTTTGTCAAACTGAACTGAGCAGAAGAGTTAAAACAGTGTCTCCTTGTAGAATAGGTTGTACACCTGTTGTGTGTTTGTAGCTGCTGGAGATGCGGTACCACCTACCTGACTGTATCCTCAGGCCTCTGTTGATGGTCATCCTTGGCGTCTCATCATTGATCAGCCCGATGATGACGTTCAGAGACTTGGTGTCATTGAAGTCGCCATCAGAGAGATGGAGGGTGAACATGTCCGTCATGGCCTCTGTGTCGTCGTGGGTGTACACAATCAGCTCATTCAGGATATCCTGGAAATACAACAACAGAGTAAATACAGAAACAAAAGACAAAATGAAGGATAAATGGTACTGCAATCATGAATCAAAGCATAAAATACTGATGTCAGAAACATGGTAAGAGTGTTTCAAAGACATTCATGTCTTGGGATTAAATCTTTCTACAAAGTTGTCAACAGACGATATCCTAAGGTCACTCATTGATTTGTTATTTTAATAAGAATCAATTTTATTGAACATAACAGGAACGTAATTCAACAATGTTGCTATGATCACTTTTGGTGCTGTTTTGTCCATACCTCATATGAGAAGATGGCTCCATCTGGCAAAGCTATGGCATTGAAAGGCTGCTCGTTTGGTAGTTCCTTCACTCTCAATGCCCCTGCAAACATCACATAAAATGGCACATGTTCCTTAAATATGGAGAGTTTTGCTCAGTTGGAGAAACAAAGCTAAAATATTGGGTACAATTGTTGGGACAAACTTTCTCAAATTAGTATTTTGCAGCAATTATCCGACTTGGACATTAAAGTAGATGATTTTGCACAATACAGCCATCTGTTCCCAAAATTCAGTTGATAATTTGGTCACTTACTTTCAATTTTGACTACAACAATTTCTGATGGGATGAGTGAGTTTCTTAATTGACAAAATCAACACTAGAATAAATAAATAGACCTCACACAAATCAAGAAATAAGAGATGCTTGTGTTCATAGCAGATGGTTTAAAGCTAAATAATTACCCTCTCTTTATCAATGTTTTTAAAAAATCAATCCTTGTATTTTCATTTTGTAGACTGGCATATCATTACAGGAAGTTCATTGTTTAGTTTTCACATTTGGGACAGTTGGCAGCTATGGATTCAATGTGATGAAAGACTATTTTAAGAAGGCCCTGTGATCATGAATGAATCAATTTTACAGATATTTATTTGCAACAGTGAGTACTACAAGTAAGATCAGACTCACCATGGGATGGGGGTATTTGCAGGGTGAAGAAGAGATCCTCAGGGGCTGTGTCGATGTCGATGACGTACATGGAAGCATTGGTGAGGGTAACAGCCTTGCCCTCCTGGACAAACAGTTGTTCAGTGATGATGTACGGCTGCTCATCATTCACAAGCTGCAAGAAACATGGTGGGACAGATGTGAGTGTTCTCGGTCACCAATGCATTGTCATACTGTCATTACAAATATGTACAGACTGATATATATCGTTACGCACTATATATGTGTCTTTGGCATTTATGTTTCTGTTCAGGAAGTCAACAAATATTGATCAGAATAATTTCCTGGTAACCCTTACAGATTGATGTTGCTTATATATGCATGTTGGTTGGTTGGTTGTTTAACGCCGCACTTAGCAACATTCCAGCTATATGGTGGCAGTCTGTAAATAATCAAGTCCAGACAATCCAGTGATCAGCAGCATGAGCATAAATCTATGTAACTGGGATAAGATGACATGTGTCAACCAAGCCAGTGAGTCTGACCACCCAACCCTGTTAGTCACTACGTACGCCAAGCATGGGTTACTGAAGACCAATTCTAACCCAGATCTTTACGGCTTAAATATATATATATATATATATATGCATGCATGCATGTACTCATCCACTTACATATATACCCACATCCAGCTACAGTAGTACAAGCACACAAGATAATAAAAGAATCATCAAAAGACATTACATGACACCATCGTCATAGGATCAAAGAAAATGACCTTAGACACTCACAGTGATGGAGATGTTGAACCTCTGTTGTGGTGAAACGTTGATGCCGTCACTGACATAGAAGAGGAAGTTGTCCCACACAGGCTCCTTGTTCTTGTGGTCCTCTTGGCTGTAGTAGATGTGACCATCCACCAGATCCTGGACAGTGAAGGAATTCACCACACGGCCAGGGTGACTCTCAGAACCCTCAACTGGTGGAGAACAGGAAAGTGTGTCTATAGTCATGCTATAAAGGAATTTATCACACAGCCAGGGTCTCTCAGAACCCTCAACTGATGGAGAAACAGGAAAGTGTGTCTATAGTCATGCTATAAAGGAATTTATCACACAGCCAGGGTCTCTCAGAACCCTCAACTGATGGAGAAACAGGAAAGTGTGTCAGTCATGAAGAAGATCACACAGCCAGGGTCTCTCAGAACCCTCAACTGGTTGAGAAACAGGAAGAAGATAGGGCTGCTATGAAGGAATTAGCTAGAGGTCCTTAATTAGTCCTTAACTAGAGGAGAAACTATGAACATGTGCCTATAGTAATGCCATATAGGACTTCAAAAGATACTCCCAAGTTTGTCAGCTGGAGAATTCTGCTAATATTTCAACATTACACTATCTCAACTTTGAGCCAAAAATTCTCCTATGGATTTAAAATTGGACTGACATACGAACTAAGTTCCCTGTTTTTTGTTTCCAGGGAAATAAAGTAAGGACACAAAGGACATACCTGGTTTTGTGTTGAGAATATCCCCAAAGCTTGGTGGGGTCTCGACGGTGACCATGAGGGAGGTGAGAATGCTGTCTACATCCAACACCTTGATGGAATCCACAGTGAGCTGGACACGCCCACCTTCCTGCACCTGTAACACAGTGTCTTTGTTAGCCATGCTCTAATGCTGTACAGGGGGATCCCCATGTTATCCAAGTTAATGATCCTGGTAATTGATGTTTTGTTTGTGCGTTGTTTACACCACACTCAGCAATATCAAAGCCAAATGATGCTGGCCTGTACATACAGGTGATTGCACCAGACAATCCAGTGATCGATACTGTGAGCCACAGTCCACACCGTCAGGGTATGATGACATGCTACCTACCAAGTCACCATCCCTGACCACCCAATTTATTAAGGCCCCTCTTATAACCAGCACAGGTTGTTGAGAGCTTTTCTAACCTTAACCTTAATGATCAGTTAATGATTACACTTATAACTCAAAGATGCAATCTGGTACAGGGCATAAATTACAAAGCCTATAAAACTAGATCAGAAAGGACCAGAGTTCCGAGAGGTCAATGCTTCACCTTGAGATCTGGCCCAACAGAGACCAGTGGTGACTGATTGTCAGTGGGAGTGATGAGGACGGAGAGGACTTGACTTGGAAGCAGGTTCCGACTGGAGTCTGTTATGTTGAAATACACCAGTTCTGTGAGGGACCTACTCCCTATCTCCTCAACACTCTTATACCTGAAGGACAAACATTGAAGATAAAAATAAATTTAATCCACATTTACCAAATCGTTCAATGTTACCATTAAGAGTAAGGAGTCAAACTATGCTGTCTTTATTAATTTAACATGGTACATCTTTGGAAAAGTTTGTGTTTCTCACGTTAAACGTCCATTGTTGATGTCGTCTTGGGAAAATCCGCCACCAACCATGAGTGGAATGTTATTAAGGAGTAGTCTCCCCTGGGCTGTCTCACTACTGAGGATAATGTAGATCCCTTCATCATACTCATCATTGTCTCCAAACGCCAGATCGTCTCGTGTGATAGTCACAGTGCCACCTGGTGGACAGACCAATTTTCACATGTACCATAAAGACCTTGAAACATACATATCCAAGTATTTATATGCCATGATTTAAATGCTTAAATAGAAATAGGAACAAACTGACCACAGAGATAGTTCACCAGAGCCCCTTTCCACAAATCAATCAAAGCGCTAAGGTGATCGTAACTCATACTTTAACAAAGACTTAAAATAGTTGTCGAGATAAGATTGCTTTGTGAAACAGGGCCCAGCCATGCAGGTGAGATAAAACAGATGAATGATACAGTGCAACCTCAGCTACAAGTCTGAAGCCAAAGTCTATTTAAGTATGTCTTGGTCTCATATTCTGAGGCCACAGTAGTCCACTACTGAACATGATGCCAAGAGACTTTTCATACTGATGCTAAGTAACAGTTGATGATAAAGCATGGGAATCACTGGGCACACAATCCCTACCTTCAGACACATTCACATGACAAGATGCGGATGTGAGCATGTACGGGGCAGCCTTGTCCACCTTGAGGACCACGATGTTGATCGTGGAGGTGGCCTTGTGTTTGATGTCTGAGACGGTGACCAGGAACTTGTCTGTGAGGGGGTACTCGGTGCCATCGTGCACATACTGGATGAGGCTGCCCTGCAGGTTCCCGTAGGTAAAACCATCACCTGGACCACAAGGAGAGTTGCTGTGTCATGACTAAGTCATAGCTCCTTTCTTAATTTTTAACATACAGAATTTTAGCTTGTCAATACATACCAATGAACCATAAATCTCTACTGCTAAAAATATCTCATATTTGTCTGCATACTGTGTCCTTGTGGGACTTCAATTGAACTCAATATCATCTGATTAAAAACGTAAATTTGGTTAGTCCTAACTGAAGCTTGACATGAGCATGTGAGATAATGAGTTATTATTTTTTAATGTTTTACAATTAAACAGAATTTTTTATGTTCATATAACCACACAATCCATTAAACTCCAAAGCATAAAATCTGTCATTATATTTGTCTGGATATTATTTCAATTTAGGACTTTATTTGAACGCAGTATCTTCTGACTTAAACAGTAAAATAGTTTAGCTCAAAGAAAAGCGTGACATCAGCAAGTGAGTGAGATTTCAATAACATTTCCATTAATATCATGGTGTGTTAGTTTAATACAGGAGTAAGCCAGAGATTCAAGTCTAACTGACTCTTTGGTGAAACACTAGCAGAGGAAAGGTATGACATGATAAGGAGTTTGTTCACCCCCTAATGACACAACATCATCATGAACCAACAAGCTGAAGCATGTCCTGGATCTGCCTACTGACCTGCCCTGAGTGTCACCTTGCCCCCACTGGTGTCCCTCTCCAGCCTGCCATGAGTCGGGGCCTGTGTGATGGTGACCACGAGGTTCTCCACCTTGGTGTCGGCATCAGATATCTCCAGGGTGGAGCCAACAGGGATCTGCCCACCCTGGGCCACGGTAACCTCCGCGTTGGGCACACGGAAGCGAGGGGCAGCGTTGTTCACTGGCTTGATTGTGATTGTAAACTTCTGTTCAGGAAGACGTCTTTCTCTACCGCCATCAGTGACTGCCAAAAACACATTATGTGTACATCACCATAAATACAATTATACCTTACTACTTGTTCATACACTTGAGTATATGTGTGACCCAGTTGTGCGGGCATAATGCACTCGTTGAATTCTTAGGAGCAGAAATTTCAACTGTTCTTTGCTTGAAGTCATTTTAGCTTTGTAATAGCATTTTATATATAGACTAATGTTATAAAATATGTATTGTCTGAAGTCATTTGGTCCCTTTTTCATACCCCATTGTTTACTTTTTTAAAACTCAAATTAAATAGACTAATGTCTGACAATCATAAATGAATATATATATTCTGCGTATGCGTCAGAATAAACTCACTCCTGGATGTTGAATTTTGGGATAATATTTTGCTAATGTTGGGTGAGTAATAAATAAAATACTAAACAATGTCCTGTGTAATACCATATTTATGAAACTCATGAATGGCATTGGTATCTAACTCGCTTTCACTCCTTAGATACCAAACCATTCACTCATTTAATAAATATGGGTGAGTGAGTGTGTGTGTTTAGTTTTACGCTGCATCAACAATATTCCAGCTATTCGGTCTATGTATGTAACAGGACAGTTTAGTATTCACATGTATCTAACAGAAAGTGCTTGACAGGCCATGACAGCATGTACTCACCAACAAAGCTGAATGTGACCTTCTTGACTGTGAGGCCCACATCAGTGTCGGGAGGTCTGTAGATGATCCTGTTGTTGTTGATGTCATCCTGGGAGAAGCGTAGGACAGGTTTAAAAGGGGTATCAATGTGTTCCAGCATCCCCTTCCCCTCCCCGAGCAGTGTGGTGATGGCGTAGATCACGTCGATGGGACTTGTGTCCGCGTCCTCATACAGGAGGCTGTCAGACCTCACAGGCACAATCTGGTTCTCCAACACCTACGGAAGATACAGACAATCAATTATTGATTCAGTTTAGATCTGTTCAGTCCAAAATTCACTCATTTTAGTTTCATAAAGATGACTGAACATCAGATGAAGGAATGTATGTGTAAAATGAAACAAAGACCATCTTCCTTGAAGTTGAACTCAATGAAAACAGAAAATAAAGACAGCTTTATGTTAAATCATATAGTATAGTGGGTTGTGAACCAAGGTACCCCTTAGGCACAAGGGTTATGTTGCCATCATTCAACATGATACTTAGTGACGATGTATGTTTGTAGATTCTATATATAGGGGATAAGTAAGCAAGCATGAATATACACAACAATATAGTCATCTGATGTTGACCAATAAAACACAAGAACCACGGTGCCCCCTAGGACCTCGTGCTACTCACAGTCATCCCTAGCTGGATCCCAGGAGCCAGAGTGGGGCCAGACAGTTCGTCAACCACAGCCTGGGCGATGACTGTCACATGGAAACTCTGCTCCTTCAGGATGTTGGGTGGAGCTGCTGTATCCGCCACCTGGAAGAGAAGCATTCTCTGAAAACTTGTGCTGAACGATTCATTCGTCTGTTTTATTTTTTTTCATATCGCATATTTAGAGTGGCTTTTATTATCTAGATTGATTTTGATTAACTTAAAGCAGGGTAAGACTTCCAATTGTTTCAGACACTTAATATTGTACAGAACACTTCACCTCAAATGTGAAGACGTCAGACGTTGTGCCATCCTTCAGATGCCGGTACCAGATGCGAGATTCATCAATATCCCTCTGCATGAACCGGTACATTTTGGCAGCCATCAATCCATCCCCCACATCCTGCCACCCACGACCTGCACCACTTGCCGGGATAGGCACCACCATGACAAGTTCTCCTGGAAAAGCAAAGGCAACCAAGCAGATGAAGTACCCCTCTTTGGTTATGTGTGGGAAATAGATATCACAAATACATGACACGGTGACACGCAATTGATACATGTCCATCAACACGTTTGAACACTTGAATACTTCATGGATGATCATTATCATCATTATCAAAATGAGCAAAATAAAAGTAAAGACCTATAAGTACAAATCTCCAAACATAGACACTAGAACAAGAGCTATTCCAGTACTCTTTCCTTCTCATGCATGCATATCATGAAGGAAATATAAACACCCTTTTTGCTAATGTACTGATCACTACTACACAGACATTGAAACAAAAATATCAGAAAAATATCAAACAAGTACAATACTCAGGTCAGTCTATATTTCCTAGAAATAGAAAAGAAATGACCACCTTTTTATAATATAACAAAAGCCAATTTAACAAAACAAATCATCAAATAGTTTCACTTCGGATGTTAGTGTTAGTCCTGAGGGTACAGACAGTGTGAGTACCATGTTTGGGGTTGTTGACTGACGGCATGAGTGTGTAGATGAGGTCGCCTGTCCGGGCGTTGTCGAGGTCCATGGCCTGAGCCTGCAGCATCTCCTTGGTCAGCTGGACCATCTCCCTGGACACCACCTGGGCTCCCCGGTTGTTGATCATTACAGGCAGGCGACTATTCTGTGAGACAAAATATTACATGAGAAACTACTAGTTAATGTCTGCTACTAGATGAAGATGAAAGAAATGTTTAGTTTTTTGTGAATGATTCGTCAGGTGTTTGTAGAGTATGCAAAAGAAGAAGGACTTTCATATCTTCTGTGATACTTTTCTATGTTATCTCTGTAGTTCATGCATGAGAGTAGAGCATATCTATTATGAAAATGATACTGATAGTTAAATACTTGTTTGCTCAGTTTGTGATTTATTTTGCTGAAGTTGTCACTATTTCAGTTACATGACATTAACCTGTTAGTCTCGGCCAGGTAACATAGTGACTGAAACAATAGGACATGTCCCACACCATCAGGGAACTCTGAAACACAATCAATGTATAGCCTCACAACCCAATCTAAAGTCAAATAAGTGCGGCAAATTCAGAATCCCACTGGGGTAGAAAATTACACAGTAAAGTAACAGATGATGAATCAGTGCTCTTACCTCTGCCCTGACATTGATGTTGACGATGGTGTTGAGCACGCTGAAGTCATCAGACACCTGTAAAACCATCATGTCAGATACTGCTGTACTGTCACTGGAGTGCTCATAGGCTATCGCACCTGTGCGGAGGTCTCGCAGGGAGAACTGGCGGACAGAAGTCTCCGTTCGGCGGTCAACTAAACGACCTTGTAAAGGACCTGTATTGCAAAACCAGAACTTGAAAAGGGTCTGTTTCAGGGGTTTGATACATGCCACTCCGATATGTACAATAACTGTTGAAATTATTACTTAAAATGTTCAAAGTTGAGGAAAACTATTGAAATCAGGTTAAAAGACAGAAAATGGAGATTATTTAATGGGTAAAGATACTAGAAGGAAATAATTTGCTTCTAAGAATCCACAAACATTTCTGTGAATGTCACTTATGTCATAGTCATGGGATCAACATTTTCTCTATGTCCAGGGCCCCGTTTCACAAAGCTATTGTGTAGCGCTACGACTGTTACAAATCCTATACTGCAACAATGACTTATGATAGTCGTAGTGCTACGATAGCTTTGTACATCTTTAGCCTACACTAACCACTGGATACGTTCCTGTCATGCTCATGATCACACATGATTGGGAGGACTTTGAGATCACAAGAGCCACAGAAATGGATCTATGAATTAGCGTGGGTTAACGGAAATGAGAGCCTGGGAGATATTCAAAATGGTTGGAATATCTCAAAGAATCTTTTAACAAATCTTCCATCCACATATGCTTCCTTTAAACAGATGTTACCTTACCTTGCACCACTCTGATAATAATTGTGTTCATATCAGCAGACGTCTCGTAGTCCAGGACCTCTCTGTTGAGCACAGTCTTGCCTCCTCCTACCACCTGCATGGCCTTGTTAAGTTTTTCACTCAAGGAAGAGGTGGGGACTGACTGAAGTTGAAGGTTCACCTGGTCGCTGAACAGCGTGCCATCAGTGGCTTTCAGTACAGCTTTGTCTGGAACATCATGTCAACACATATAGATAGTCATCAAGATATACTTAAGGCTGGGAGACAAGATGGATCTTATATTGCTGAGTGTTGCATTAAAGAAACACATTGAATCTTGGGACAACCAAAAGGGTTATGACAAGAAGACCTGGGTTAGATTCTACACTTGGGTACAATGTGTGAAGCCCATTTCTGGTGTCCCCCTCCATGATATTTCTGGAATATTTCTAAAAGTGGCGTAAAACTCACTCACTCACACTAGAAATAGCTCTCATTGCTTACCTGTGGTCCTCCCGTCCTGTCCGCTGACATATCTGATCTTCCCGCTGCGAAGGTCCTCCAGACTGAAGGGGTCCTCCATCCCCAGCAGCTGATCCCGGCCTTGGGTGGCCTTCACTAGCACACCTCCCGATGGTGGCCTCATTACCAGGATACTCAGATGTTCATCAGAAGTGTCGCGGTCCTCCAAGAACACAAGGTCGGATGGGATGGTTGTAATGCCAGAGTCAGATGTCTTAACAGGGCTCACAATGTCCAGAATGGGAGGGTACTTATTAGCTGGAATGAAATAATCGCTATTGTTTAATTCCTAATTTTATCAATTATTAATGATTATACTAATTACATATCAGAAAACACATCTGTAATTTTCAATCCAAACAAAGTCCTAAATGACAACAAAGGTATAAGTTTATGAGCATTTAAATAGCAGCATCACTGAAATGGACAAGGAATATATACACATGACAATTAGTTACCCAGTGGTTTTGAAAGAACTAGAACTGAGCTACTGACATTGTGGCAAGACTGACCTATGCATCTCCTGAGCTCCATGTCTGTGATGTAGCCCCGTCCACACTGTCCAACACAGGAGCCTAGGCGTAGGTAGGTACGGCTGTCACACATCACGCACTGGTCTTCACTGGAACACTGCAGGCAATGGCGCTTGCAAGCTGTAAGAATACACACAAAACTCTCACAGTATTTTTTTCTGAGTGGGAGTTGGGTAGCCTAGTTGTTAAAGCATTTGCTTATCAAAGTGAAAGTCTGGGTTTGATTCCTGTCATGGGTACAACAAGTGGGAGCCTACTTCTGGCATCACCCACTATGACAGTGCGGTAGTATTGCTAAAAGTGGCATACAGTCACTGTGTTATGTCCTTTCTGAACACCACATACCATTCTTGGTGTACCCATTGCTCAGTTTCTGCCAATTGGATTTTATTCCAATCCATAAGATAATCCTGACTGAAATCCCCCAATATGTTGAGACAACTTTAAGACTGCTTCTATGACACAATATTTTTCAGAGAAGTATCATGTTGTTTCACAAGAAAAAAAACGATAGGATATTTGTCTATTCTTTTAAGCTTACATGTTAAATTCAACTTGTGTTACATGACAATTTTGACACTTCACCCAACATGAGATAAATGATATATTTGACACGAAAAGACAAACATTCTTTTCTGTATAAATCATTCTCTGACAGGTGACTCAACATACATTTGCAGACATTCTTGTAGTTGGTGAAGCTGTTTTGACCACAATGAGTCACACATTGGCCCTCATATAGGACATAGGGGGCCCTACAGACTGAGCAGGTAGACGGTCCCTCACATCTCTCACAGTGCTCACCACAACCTGAAAAACAATGGTGATTATATCATACAGGAATTCACAGTTGTTGGAAAGATTTCAGTATCATTAATGCTTATATATTGTTAGTTGTACGAGGTGTAGTTTTGTAAGTAATGGCTTTCACCTCTGACTAGACAGTGATGAGTTAACATGCCCTGTAAAACTATTTGCTCAGTCATTTAACATTGAAACACACAACGGAATGTAAGACTTGCTGTTTATCATGAACTAAAGTATCAGGGCTAGAGTTCTTGAAGGTGTCTGGAAGACTATAGTAGAGCATGCTGACAACCATGATAAACTAAGATTGTGTCTGTGAGCTCACCATATACTGTTTATTTGGGTTAAAAAGATACTTCAACACGGTAATGCCTGGTGTAGTTGAAAATATTATTCAACAAAATGTAACCAGCTTTTTGTATTGCATATTTCTGCATGCATTTAGTATGAATACATGACAAAAATGTTGAAAATATTCCAAAATACATTGCCACTTACTTTTACACAGATCGTGCATGAGGTATGTTGCAGCAGGGCACTGTGGGACACATCCACTTCCTGTAGGTGTGAGTCTACTATCTTCACAACTGGTGCACACTGAGCCTGTCCTATCTTGGGCAGGATGACACGAGGCACATCCGGAGTCACATGCTGTAAGACATCAAATAATAACATCTCATGTTCATACACATATATATTTTATAACATGTACAAAATTTGCATTACAGTTAAGAAAACATGCTGCATAAGGTTCATCTTACACGAGTGAATGAACTGGTGAGTGAAAGTGTGTGAACAAGACTTGTTTAACTGACTGACTGACTGACTGAGTTTGGTTTTACGCCGCTTTTAGCAATATTCCAGCAACATCACGGCGGGGGACACCAGAAATGGGCTTCACACATTGTACCCATGTGGGGATTCGAACCTGGGTCTTTGGCGTGACGAGCCAACGCTTTAACCACTAGGCTACCCCACTGCCCCGACTTGTTTAACACCAGAGGCAGCAACATTCCAGCTATATCATTGCAGCCTGCATATTTTGGAGTTATAATTGAGCCAGACAAATTGTTTATCTGAATAATATCATTTCAAGCAGCTCAGATACAACAGATGACAACATAATGAAAATGATTTCTTTACATGAAATGTTACACTGGATCACCGACTCCTACCATGACAGCTGCCATCGGTTTCCATATATTGCCTTGTGGGACAAGAGGACATACAGGCCCCGCCCTGCAGCTGGTAGCCCTGGGGACAGGACAAGCACTGGTTCTCTCCACCTCCATCACAGGTCAAACATCCAGGGTGACATTCTGTTGGTGTATAACAGTTCATATCAGCAAAGAAATTTGGTATGCAGTAATGAACCATAATCAACTCTGAATGGGAGTTGTTTTTTCTTTGTGGCAGGTACACAAACATGAATATTAAAAAAGTAGTGTAACTCATCAATTTCTACATGTGTCATTACAAGAGGGTTGTAGAAACATTCTGGTACATCCTTTGTGTTAGCTAAGATTTTATCATATCCAGTTTCAGAATAAACACTGAGATACATTCATTAAGGTATTATGCCAAATTAGCTGTCATACAGGTTAAGAATGAGTTCTTTCGAATCACCTACTATGTACTTGACCCTAATTTGACATTATGATAAAACAGTTTACAATATCCTAGCAATGCCAAATGTAATGACATGACTTAACTCATTAATGCCAGAAAAGAATGCAATATTTGTGTTACATCCTCATAGAACAACATAGTAGTACCTTATTATCAACAGAAAAAAGGGTAAAATGTTCCCTTTCCATAAAAAATATGAGCGATCTTCTTACGTCTATACGTTTCATCCCTATACTATATTGTGACTAGATACTGTTATGACAGGATTCACAATATATCACTACATCTAATGTGTTGTGGTGTATAATATGCTGATGAAAGGTGAGATCAGCTTAACTAAATCCTGCAACACAGGTCGGAAATACTTCTACCTAGACTCAGCTGACATCCCATACAATCTCCACCCATACTGACTTGACCCCAAAAGAAACCTGATTCACATGACAGTCAATGCTGTTCTATGCAGGGAGCAGTAAAATGCTCCCCAACACAAAGAAACTGTGCATGGTGATGTCAATGACTCAAAATCAATCTGTCTGCAATGGCAATTTTATCGGGCCTAATCTATTGTCAGGCACTTTTATGCTTGGATCCCTTCAAACATGTGAACAGTGGACAATTCTGTCCTTCAAACAGGTGACACCTTGACTATCTAGTCAAGTATTCATACGACTGACTCTATGAATAGCTGGAGTGCATGACTGAGTAATTTGGTGGTGTAACACATGAAACGGAATACCTTCTATGTATGAGGGGAAACCAGACACCAGCTATTACTATGTGCACCCAGTGTAGTTGTGCTGGGTCTGGAAGCCTGACATCATGTTCAGTACTCAAGGGGTAATCTGCATGAAATCACTAACACATGTGTACAATACTCCTCCTGTACCTCATACTGATATCCATGGCCTCATATTGTCTCAGTCACCTTAACGTTGTGACATGACACATACTGAGATTCCTTCTGAACTGTTCAAAATGTTCGCTTAGATATTACTGTTTATGTCTTTAAAAGATATTTTGTAGACGATCACTTTGTCTCTGAATATACATAAGTTTGAAAGAAACAAATAATTCCTTTTAAATTGAAAAGGATGAAAAGGGGCCCAAGTGAGATGGGAGATTCAGAACCTGGCTCGGCAAAATCTAGACTTGCTTCATTTTTGCATTTAACATTGCAGAAAGGTCTGAGTGGATGGGAAAAATTATAGAGTTCATGGACTGTGAGACAAACTAGGTATTTTGCTACATTGGTAGATCTTCAGACTGTTGTAGTGTGGCCTTGCAGTTAAAGCGTTCACTTGTCAAACCAAAGGGCTGTGTTTTGTTCTCCACATGGGTACATAATGTGAAGCCTATTTCTTGAGTCCTTTTACCCTGATACTGCTGGAATATGGCAAACAGTGGTGTAAGACTCAGTCACTCACTCAGATTGGTGTGACATTGCAGACCAGTTATCAGAAGCATGGAACAATGGACGCTATTCTGGGGTCAATGACCCAAGTCCTACATCAGCTTTGAGGATAGTGTGTCATACAGATCCTGAACAAATATACTCAGTGCAGCCGATGCAAGTCTAGAATATGTGGCAAGGCTACATTACCACAGTTTCAGTTTCTGAAAATGAGGAAAGTCTCTGGTCTCCTTTTTATTATATTTTATGAAGATAATTTAGGAACTGTTTCTTTCTGTAAATCATGCTCATTTCAGTGACTACACGTTGGTCTTCTCTAAGCACTGCACTTGTAAGAACTACCTGCCTATTTACACAGCCTATGTCAGAAACCATCTATATGGCAATTATAGGATAACAACATATGATCCTCCAACCCTGTACCAGCACTTGAAATGTGCTATTAAGACAGCAGCTAATACCTTACGGGAACCAATAAAAGCAGGATTACTGTAAATGACTAAAACCATCACTGGTATTGGGTTACAATGTTGCACCAGGGTGAAGTGTTCCAGACAACTTTTGGAGCCACTGAGTATTCACTCCCAAGTTGTCCACATTTGACATGTTTCTCCCGATATGTATTGATTCTCCCTTGGGTTGGGGTATTTTTACACTATTTGGTGTATATAAATTATTTCTGTCGTGTTGAATTATGTTTCAGGTTACTTCTAGTTTGTACCTATTCGTGTTCCACATTAAATCTCAATGGTAAAATATCTGTCTAATTAACAATAAGCAAGATAGCCCCTTTTCATGCATTCTGAATTGCAGTAGAGTTCACATATGGGTGATGAAAAGAAAGGTTGGTCAAGAAATACACATAAGTAAGTTACAAAGGATACACTGCATAACTAAGAAGTATGGTTACACTATATGATTTTCACATTTTTTATGTGTATTTGAACACAAATCAAAATTAATTAGGTAATTGGAGACTAATTTTGCATATTTTATGTAAATGCAGAGCTTATCAGGAGCTGTAAAATTATGTACATGACTCATGACATTAATGCTATTAAAGTTTAATTTCTTTATTTGCAATATTCAAGAATTCCTAGAGCATATCAGATTATCAACAAATAAGCTCTGAACATGCTATGAGACACTGAAACATTTGCTGAATCTTGTATTAAGCATATGGTCTTGACAATGTTATACAGTATTGTTACCTGTGCAGGTGCCCTGATGTTGGTAGTATCCTCGGGAGCAGGAATCAAAACACTGGCCTTTCTGTAGCATATAGCCACGGTGACATGTGGCACAGTTGGGGCTGTCCGGCAGGCAAGTCCTACAGTATGGTGGGCATGCTGTAAAGTAAGCCCATCATGAACCACCACAGAGACTGATCACTGATTGCCTGGACATGCATACAGTGTAGTGCTTGCGGAAAAGATTGATAATCAGAAATATTCTCGATGGGAAGAATAATAATGTTAATTTAACAATGTTTATAGTTAACAATTATTAACCTCTATGATTTACATTGATAGCCAGCCCTAATAGTGTGTTACCAAGCAGTAAGAAATTTGTCTTAGAGTACTAATATATGCTATCTTGGTACCTGCATGCATGAGAAACAGGATTGTCTTTTGAAACAACAAATTGCCAGCACTGATAGGTCAAAGAATGACGTCACCTATAGATGAGGGTGGAATATTTAACACTAATGATGAAAACATACCTCATACTGCAGGAAATGTCTAACATGAGTTTAGAAAGTTTAAAAACATGGTTACCTATACACTCCCTATCCTTGAGGTAGTATCTCGAACCGCAGTTGTCGACACATCGGCCTCGTAACAGAACGTGTCCCTGGTAGGAACAAGACACACACTGGCTTCGGCCTGATCCCACACATGTCTCACAGGTTTGGTGGCACCCTGGAATTAAACAGCATAGTTATATATTTTTACTCCAAATTAGCAGAACTAAACAAAACTCCTCAATAAAAATTAAATTTGATATTCTATACTGAATACATCATTAATCATAGGTTGCTGATGTGCCCAAGGGAGGCAACTCTGCCCAACAAATTGCAGCACCTTTCGCAAGTGTGCCTCCCATGCCCCTAAAACTGAAATTGAAAGGAACCCAGGGTAAAACATAAAGATATACAGGACCCTCCCCTCATACAGTATCAAATACAGACCTTAGAGTATATGTTTTATTAAAATCACCCCTCTTCCTTCTCAGCCCCAACAGCCCTTTGTCATCACCTTTTCAGCATTAGGACTTTGGAGACATGATGGTAGCTGAATCCTCAAGGTTCCATTCCAGGATTATCCTGATTACATGTCCTTAAATCAGACGCTCCATGCAGTATAAATATACACTGTGGTACACCTACCAAGGCACTGTCCATTATGGAGGTAGTACCCAGATCCACACTGGTCCACACACTGACCGTCCCTCCACAGCAGCCCAGGGGGACAAGTGGCACAGTGGAACTCCGTCCGAGCAATACACGACTCACAGCTGGAGTGGCACTCTGTCAATTGAGGAAAAATATGCAATAATAGAGTTTTGCAAGATTTCCGCATATTTGACATTATTTTCATCAGAAATATTCCTCATAGTCTTTTTGGTGAGTCATATTGGATCCAAGAAATTGTCTTCAGTCCAAGTTGTTACAAAAACATGCATTTACTGAAACTGAATTTACATTTTGCAGTCATTGTTTCAGTTAACAGAATGACCACGATGGTATATCATGATGGTATATATTTGTGCTGTTGACTAAAAGTGGCAGAATGTATCTCTCTAAGTTGTGCTCAGAATAAACAGTCAGTCATGACCATGTTTTCATGTTATGTGTGCCATAGCATATTATTACAATAACAGTGTTCATGCAAGTGATCCTAGGGCAATTTGATGGTCTCCCACCACCTTTCAAATTCAGTGTAAGGGACATAAGGAAAAGAAGTTTTCTGTGGCCACCCAAATGTGACAGACTTTTTATGTTCTTCTACGCAGTTAATGGGGCATGCACTGGTTCACATTTTCACATGTACTGGTAATATGGAATTTGTAATTAGAAGATATCATAAATGACTTATCATTGAACTAATTCACTTTCTTATCATCCATATACATGTATTTATATAAGTTGTCTTGTCTTTTAACATCTACACTTATTAGTATACACATATCACTTAAGGTCTGTCAGAGCTTCATATTCAAAACTTCCGAGGTTTTTTTTCCCACTTTGCCCTACTTCTGTTCACTTTGAAAACACATTTCCCTGAAGATAGCTTATTTTCCTTTTGCTCAAACCAAACATAAGCCACTGCTCATAAAATGTACGTAAGGTGCAGTTTCTCATTAGATTTAATGACTGACGCAAACTGTGTGTTTGCTGTTTCAGGTGCATTGCAATTATGATTTCATCACATACACTAAAAGTCAACCTCTCCGATGCATTATCATATTTATACATGGCAGGTGTCCCCTCTGGTAAATAACTGTGATAATTACACCCACCTTAGGTCAACACAATGGAGTATGTGGCAGGATACATGCAGGGTGTGTAAAACACATGTCCTCATCATTTGCCTTAATGAATGTGCTTTCAACAGTGTAGTTGGATAAAATAGTGCCAAGTTTGTAATCAGTGTAGTTTCTGTTCGGTACAGATCTTCTATGTTACTATGCCTAAACCAGCCAGGAGATTGCACATGGCTTCCATATATGAATAATGTTTATAGGAAATCTCACAAAACAAAATGGCTTAAAAATCTTGCTTATCAACATGTTTAAAACAATTCATGAGATTGTTATATCATTTTGTTTCCTATTTCCCAAATAACAAGGGCAGAGGGGTAGCCTAGTGGTTAAAGAGTTTGCTCGTCAAGCCCTTTTCTTGTGTCCCCTGCCATGATATTAATGGAATATTGCTAAAAGCGACGTAAATCCATATTCATTCACTCATCAGTATCAAAATTTTCACAAAATATATCACATTATGCTTTATTTCAATATTTCAAATCCTAATACATCTGGATGTCATTTTTCACTTTCATGAAAGACATTTTGGAAAGGAAATACAATGTACAGGTAGTAGAATCAAAATGTAAAATCAAAGCTATATGTTGAATTATTTTGTATTCATTTATTTGGTTGTTTGATTGTAATTGCCCTTTTCTTAATCCTGCATCTTGGCTAACTGACACAGAAAACTAATTAAACAAGAAATGGAATAAGGTATTTAAAATAACATACCACAAAAGCAGAATATATCTAAAAATCACAACTGTTCAGTTGTCTGATTAATATGATTGACATTCACTCAATGTTTTGTTAATATGTCACATCAGAATACATGATGAATCATATAATTAGAATATAATGTTGCATATAATCTGTTTAGTGTGAGCAAATTAGCAAGATGTAAATAATTGACAGCATGATGGATCAAATCTTTGATAGGCATTTAGAAAAACATGAAGACATGAAATGGTTATGGATTACAAATACGATTACTGTTTGCAACCTTTAAGAGCTTGATGAGTGAGGATGGTTTTTGATGCCACATTTAGCATTATCAATGGATACCACAGCAGACGACAACAGAATTAGTCTTCACATAATGTACCCATGTAGGAAACATATTTTAAAAATAGAAATTGCAAATCTAATTTATCTTAAAATACTTTGCCTACATACAAAATAGCAAGCTGTCACTTGAGGTTTCTATGACCTGAACTATCAAATGCAGCAGAAGCTAAAACTCCCATTGCCACAAGACTCTTAAATCATTTAGTTTGTAAAGCGGGTGAGCTAGTGTTGATGGTACTGTCCTGCATGTTAGTTTAGCACACAATAAGTACTGATACACATTAAACAGTTATGTATACTGCCATAATTTCACCTTGACAGGTGTTCTCCCTTGTTGGATAGAATCCATTCTTGCACTGTTCAACACAGCGGCCATCTTGTGCCAGTTTACCAAACTCCTTGCACCTTGTGCAGTGTTGTGGATCATCAGGCAAACAATGACTACAGTCGGACGCACATTCCACTGGAAGGAAACTTTGCAGTTAGATGTGTGGTTGTTATTGAGCATTTGATGCCTGGAAATATGATATACTTTACAGCCTGTGTTCTCACATGTTAAATTTCTCGGCAACGAATATTCAATAACATGCGCATATCTAAAAGCACAATATGTTTACCGACATTGTAAAATACAAATGTTAGCGAAATATACTGTGGGACTCTCTTTCCACATGAACTCTGACAGGTGTGAGACAGAGAAGATGTCACTCTCGAATTGGATGACATCATTACATAATGTCACATGCTTCTGTGGTAGCTGAGTGGATCTGGTTAGCTAAATGTTTCAGGTTCTTCAAAAATTGAAGTTGTTCAAATATTTATAAAATTTCTATTTGAATTTCATTAATGTAGTATCCCTTTTTGCCAAGCTAACTTTTAAACTTTATGATGGAATAGAAAATAAAACATACATTTATCTCTTCTGAATGAATTAAAGTGAGGTATGTTGTTGACCGTTGTCAGTTACTGTCATTGAATTATTTCCCTTGTATGTCAATACAAATTAATCCACATTAACACATTTGCACATCTATACAAGTAAATGTGCATGCAACATTTGGTACGAAGGAGTAGATACCTCTGGTTGAAACATTATATCATAACCCAAATTAACAAAGTAAAGTACACTAAAATGTAAAGAAACTTAAAGCAAACCAAACATAATAAGCAGTACAATAACCCCTCCAGCTAAACATTTGTATTCATGACATGCAGTTCATCAAACAGACTATCCTATGCTTGTGTAGATAATGATAACCGATGAGGAACATTACACTGAGTAACCCTGATCAGGAGCAAGAAGAAACAGGTCTGAAGAAGTTCTCCATGCTGTACATGCTGTTTAATGGCCACTCAAATGTCATTGAGATTGGTCCACAATGACAGAACTAATTTGATGGTGAATGTGTGTGACTGGTAATACATGCTACACATCTTCTCTCATGTACATGCCTATCTATTGAAGTCAACAGGTATATTGCATACAGTTACCCTTTTCATAACATGAAACTCCAAGATCAAAATGGTCATTAGCTACAATAGAGGCGGAATAGTTTTGTCTGTGTTCACAGCAGCTAAAGATTACACTGTAACAAATCTTCTTATGTGCATGGGTCTGTACCTATCACATGAAAGGTCTCCAACTGAGTCCTATTGTTGAAGATCCAATCTTTCAAACCAACAGCTGACATTGTGATGTGCACATGTATACAGTATATGTTACTCAGAAGTGTAAAAACACCTGATTCTTCCTATTACCGCAGTTAATGGGTCATGGGTCACGGATGACAGACTGACAATAGTACATGTAATATGAAAGAAGTAGTATTCTTTAACTTTTTGTAAGTAGTATACATGTATGACAAGCAAAGGTATCCTGAGTAAAATAGTGGCCAACACAAGCACCTGTTTTCCATAATTTCCATAATCCGTTATTGAGACATCTCTCATATTGTTCTCCGTGAAACAGTAATAGCTTGCAGGGCCTAGATTTTCTAAGCTCTCTCAGCGATAAGATAGTCATACGTGCCATACTTTAACATTAACTTACGACTATCTTAGCGCTAACAGAGCTTTGAAAATCTAGGCCCTGGACCATCAGGTACGCTGGCACTTACCACTACCCACTACAGTTTTGTCAAAGAGGGTGGTTGTTTATCCTCCTGGGACAATCTGTCACCATCTTCATGCCACAATATCATCAATCATACCTGTTTGTGCCACCACTTTGTACAGTCAAGCCTTATATGCTGCCCCAAAGAAGCACCCTCAGTACTGGAACAGACCATCACCTACCTTGTTCACAAGTTCCACAGCACTGTCCAGGAGGGATGGACATGTAACTGCGGGAGGGCACACTGGGCAGTTCTGCTGGTAGCACACTGTCTCCCCCTCCTTACAGTTACACACAGTGCAGGGCCCTGGGTGCCAGCTGTCACCATCCTGGAGATAGGAGACCAATTTATTACATAAGAGGGCGAAAATATCGGGGTTCATATTTTTCATATGATGCCCTAGGGCAAAATATCACTTTGTCATGGTGACTAGACGTCATGAACAATGCTATGACGTCACGTTTCTTCTGTGACACTGCGTTCTACACCCGTGCCTAAATATCGGTATATCCCTCAGTCTCGCTCAGGAAGTACCAACATTTAGGCACTCATGTTGTAAACATAGTATGACATGGGCACTCATATAAAATCCTCTATATATGACCAAATACCACACCCTAACAAGAATATGTCATACGAAGGAGATGGTAGCATTCAAAATTCTGTGGGTAGTGAAATCTGTATGTATGTTTCTTTCTTCTCTTCATTGTTGTTTAACCATGCACTCAGCAATACTCCAACTATATGATGGACAGTATGTAAATGATCAACTCTGGACCAGACAATCCAGTGATGGACACCATGGGTATTGTTGCAAGTGACTGGGATACCATGACATACGTCAACCAAAATCACTGAGCCTGAGCATCCAATCCTGTGAGACACCTCTTACAACAAGCATTGGGTATTAAAGATCAGTTCTAACCAGGACATTCACAGGAACTGAAATCTTTCAATGAGTGAGGTTGCCATATACCCAGCATGGTAATGATCCTATGTACGATTGTGAGTGTATGTTTCCATTATATCTGCACAAAGATGCAGTTGATAATAACTAGTCCCAATAGATTTTCACATCCTGCAATCTTTAGATGTTCATCAAAGCATAACATACCCTACTATCCAACTAACATAACCATCATCCCTATCAAAGGTCATACGATTTTAGACTGACTGACTGACGGAGTATGGTTTTACGCCGTTTTTAGCAATATTCAAGCAATATCACGGCGGGGAACACAAAAATGGGCTTCATAAATTGTACCCATGTGGGGAATCGAACCTTGGGCTTCGGCATGATGAGCAAATGCTTTAACCACTAGGCTACCCCACCGCCCCCATAAGATTTTAGAAGCAATTCAAGCTACCACCTATATTTATAATCTGATGAAACTCAACAATTTGCCAACAAAGCACAACCATACTGAACATGTACATTGAAGGAAGAGGGAACACTATCCAAATGATTCCCATTAGCCACTCAGGAAAGATAAACTTGATACTGATAAATCTGTGATGTGTAATCCGTAAGTGTTCATGTGAGCTTGTGTGGTCATCCAATCACCAACTCTTAACACCCTCATTGTGTCCTGGTAACCTGTCTCTTCTTCATGTTACTTGCCATCAAAGAGAAGGACAAATAAGGAAATATTGAAAATTCCTTTTGACGGAAATACTTCTACAGTTTTATGTGTTTTATCATAAACTTATCAGCTAATTTCATGCTTGAACACATAAAATCTGATAAGTGTGGACAAGAATGGAATCTGGAATTAAATCAATAAAGAGATACCCATGTTCGCTGCTCCAGTAAGTCAGGCAATTATACAGCTGAGTGAACAACAAAGGCGGATATGTACGGTATGCAAACTTGTTGTGTTGATCTACACCACTGGAATACTTGTATTTCAATGCAGTCTTTATGTTACAATGATCCAACTGAATACAAGCTTCTGGCAGAAGAGGTGGATGACAAAGATGCTACTATCCCTGCAGTCAGCACTAATCTGTCAGGTCACTAATGATGGACATACCTGCCTTCCGCAAAGTTTAAAACATGAGGGGACAAAGAAGTGTAGTAACAGAATCCATACAAACCAGTAATAGAAAAATGAATCCTATCCATGCATCTCTGATCTTTTAGAATTTAATTATTTGATTAAATTTAATGCATATGTTTAAATTTCATGTCAAACAAACAAACAAACAAACTGGATTAGCGGATAAAATTATAATGCTGATACATGTTACCAATTATCAGTTACAGAGCAGGAAACAAACATGTTTGTTTGTAGGTGGTTGAAACTCTTACCATGTACACTTCTCCCTCAAACTGGCACTGTCGAGGGACGACACAGTCTGGGCAGCACTTCCCATGGGACTGCTGTAATACTTCATTCTGTAAGGATAGAAAATATGTAGGTGTTAGTTAAGGAGGAAGTGAGTTGTTTTGTATATTGTGAACAGTATTTCACATACAATACAGTGTGTCAGTTTTATCTCTGTTGAGTGTTGTATTTGTCGTTTTACCCCCAAACTAAGCAATATTCCAACTTTATAGCTAGCAGCTAGTAAATAATTGTGTCTTGGCCTGAGAATAAAGTGACTCACATAATGAGCAACAACTTTTGCAACTGGGATACAATTAACCCAATCCATTGTGTCACCATTTATGACAAGTGTATATTGCTCTGGACAAAATCTCCATGAAGGCCTACCCAAACTGATATAGATGTTGGCACTTCTGTGAAACCCACCAGTATGATGTTGACAGATCTAGGAACATAATCAAGGTGAACTAAGATTCCAAAATTTCATCATAGTTTTATTGTCAGGCCTAAGGAATGCAGTTCTACATACTGAACTTCTGTGTACCATGCAATCAGTGATTAGATCAAATAATCATTGACATAAAAGTAAACATTTACATGCATGACTACAAGTAATCTAACAGCCGCTGTTCATATCAACATTTCATCATGTTTTACACTGATTTAGCAATATTCTAGCACAGCAAATTAAACCGATTTCATTGTGGTAGAATTGAGGACAAATAGTCAAATAATAAATTTTAATGAAACCTCAAGCGGTATTTGCGATAGGTATTTCATGGACATCTTTTGATGCTCTGTCACTAACTGGAAATCAGCAGCTTTAAATACATTCTGTTAAGAGGAACCTATGATCAAAGAACTCACGGTACAGTGTTGACAAGAGGTAATTTTCAAAATCTGAACTCTAAAATTACATTAATGTCATACCTAAGGCCATCAACAACTCTGAGACTAATACTTGCTATACCATACGTAATACTGACACATTCAATGTGGCCTGCTGTCTTCTGGTAGTTATATATAATTGCTCATATATTCCTATCACAGCAGGACTGTTGAAATATACCAAAAATGTTTTATTTTTCTCAAGTTCTACTTGTCCAAGAAGACTTCAGTCTAGTCTACTTTCATAAATATATATATCTTCTGCTGGTGCTAACCATTTTTTGAATTCCAAGTCAACTTTCAAATCACAAATTGGCCCATACTCAAGGGCAGGCATGTAATGTTTATTAGTGACTAAACTCCTGAACAAGACTTCTCTTGTTGTGTTACAAAATCCACTGTAAGAATGAAAACCATTATGTAGCAAGTTGTTTTCTGAAACATTCTGTTTGTTTTAAGTGAATATTTACTAGTTCCAAGATGCAGAAAGTATCAAATTTTACATGTCTGACAGCTTAATACGCAAAACCATCCAGTTAATTGCCTGCTTGACAGACCTGATGGAGGGTACGTGTTTGAGTTTATCTCATCACTAGACCAGAGACATAAATCTCTTTCTTCTGTTTTGCTACTTGTATGTTATGAAAATATAAGCAACCTTTTCCATGTTCATAAGAAATCTCATGTCAATAAAGTTCCTGAATGTCAGCAAAATATATCCATTCTTGTTTATTCTGTCCAATAGAGCAGTGAGAGGCTGCTTGTACTGGTAGTCTGCATGTTGTGATAAAAATATAGTCTTTATGGTAATGCAGTTGCTACTCTCAAAATATACATACAGATTCTCCTGTCAGTGCTCAAATGTATAGGCGTAACACGTAGGTAAAAACATCAATTGATTCCAATGATTCCTTTGTATTTGATTGGATAACAAAGCAGTTGTTTGGCATTTACAGAGCCAAAACATATGGTCTTGTCAAGTTATTGAGTATTAGGGCGGGGTTTGTGTTGAATTATAGGCAGGGCTTGTGTTCGGTAATTGTACTGAACAATGTCACAGATTTTTCATTGTTGTCTTTAGTTTTTTATGTGTGCATGATTATATGTGCAGCCTGTGACATTACTATTGTTGACATGTTTATTTATCAGAATTGACTTCAACAGTATTGCACATTTATGGAGATGAAAAATTGCAACTCCATATATGCACACAATTATTCTTCTAGATAAATTCATCAATAATAAGATCTTTCAGTCTGTCTATTTGGACGACTATATCTACATATATAAATTATTGAAGTAAACTGTCCAGAAAACATTTGGATCAAAACAGTATTTTAGTTGTCCCACAAATAGTATTATATACCATGAACCGGTTAAATTATGACTTTATTTTACATCCATGACACCCCTTGACCACCTTGTCTTTGTAAATCTTGGACAATGTGCGTCATTGATTGGTATTCTAGAAGTTTGTGAGTTGAAAAGAAGGCATTCAAGTTTATTGATGACAACTTCAAGTTAACTCGTTGGCGACGTTTCAATTTCAGCTATCCAAGACATGGTAAATCATTTAGTACATATTTTCGAGTGCAATTGATGCAACCAAACATGCCATAACATGAGCCAAGATTCTGACTCAAGGCAATTATTTTGCTGCATAAGACAGTCATAGTCTTTATTACCTACAGAACTAGATGTCTACTGACCCCAGCCATGCCATACATGCAAAATGAGAGTGCCTCTTTCTGTACCGGCGTTATCACACTCTGATAATCAAGATTCTTGACAAGCAGCCGAAAAACAACTATGTATTACATCATTTGGCTATAATTGTACACACTACTCTCTGTAGACACTTGGGCATTGCACCAGCTGTTCTTCATGTCTCATGAAGTTCTATGCACTTATTGCATCCCAGTAATTACACAATCATTTCACCCTCCTATATATTGCATCCCAGTAATTACACAATCATTTCACCCTCCTATATATTGCATCCCTGTAATTACACAATCATTTCACCCTCCTATATATTGCATCCCAGTAATTGCACAATCATTTCACCCTCCTATATATTGCATCCCAGTAATTGCACAATCATTTCACCCTCCTATATATTGCATCCCAGTAATTGCATCCCAATCATTTCACCCTCCTATATATTGCATCCCAGTAATTGCACAATCATTTCACCCTCCAATCCCATTTCATTTCATATATTGCATCCCAGTAATTGCACAATCATTTCACCCTCCTATATATTGCATCCCTGTAATTACACAATCATTTCACCCTCCTATATATTGCATCCCAGTAATTACACAATCATTTCACCCTCCTATATATTGCATCCCTGTAATTACACAATCATTTCACCCTCCTATATATTGCATCCCAGTAATTACACAATCATTTCACCCTCCTATATATTGCATCCCTGTAATTGCACAATCATTTCACCCTCCTATATATTGCATCCCAGTAATTGCACAATCATTTCACCCTCCTATATATTGCATCCCAGTAATTGCACAATCATTTCACCTTCCTACTCATATTTAAGGAATCATTTTGTATATGAATGTACTTTATGGTTGCAGAGTATCACATGATAAGAAATAAGTATGTGGATTGATCCAGACAGCCTGATCTGGGAAATAGATTCTGACCCGAACACCTACCTCCTTACACTGTACACGTTCACATGCTGCAGTCCGGCATTGCACTTTCCCATCATTACAGGAACAGTATTCACAGTCACTGATGTTCCAAATATCTCCATGGTAATGCTCTGACTCCGTCAAACATTTGCCTGGTAATAAAACAGGTGCCATTAATAATTTCATAATTTGATATACAGTGAAACTTTGTAAGTCCACGCTCTGTCAACCAGGAAACCTCTCCTAATGGATATTTACTGAAGGGCACCCATACAGCTATATAAATACTTGTAGCAACAATTCATTTAGATTCTCATTGAGAAAATATTATTGTCTTGAAGATGTAACAAACAATATTTTCTGTCTCTAACACATATCCTACAACCACCCATCAAGATTAAAAGGTCTGTTGCTAAAATAACAAGAACACCCCTCCTGTGTACACAACAAAGTTTTTCATGCAAAACACTTCTTCACTAAATCTGTGAGACCAGTAAAACTATTTATTGATGTTGTCGCTGTTTTTGTTACTATTATCACTTTAAAAAACATTATTCAAAGGGTTTAACAAAAGTTTTTGATAATATTCTTTTTCCTGCAGCATATCTATAACTATTAATCCACACTGATATAAAAACTAGTAAATACCTTTCTTAGGAACACATTCATGACAACACTGACCAGGACGCTTAATTTTTCTTTGATTCTGCAAAAGAAGATATTACAAATATAAAATTATTACAAAACCTATTTCATCAAGGCAAAGTATGAAACATACAATGCAAAGTTACAGAATACGTGAATCTTTCATATAACCAATCTCTTATAGCATGACAAGTTTACTATAGAAATATGAAAGACTAGGGTGTCCTTAACTCCTTTTGAGTAGTATATATATTGAAACATCATGCAATATCGAAGCAAGAAAAATAGAGAGACTTGTTTCCATTTAAAGACAAGGAATAATGATCACCTTAAGAGGGGTTGAAAAGTGCAAGACTTCATTTTCTCTCATTTAACAATTTACAAATTTCTTTGAACACCCTGTGGTGTTTTTGGTGTGCAATATGATCCACTTACACTGTGGCAAATCATGGCGCTGTCGCACTGCTGTGTTCGACATTCCACGCTGCCACCGACGCATGTACAGTATGTGCACGTGTCCTGACGCCATTGTTCACCATCCTGTAAAAAAGGTGCAGTGTGCATTACCTAGGGGCATCAGGTTTGCATTCTATTCAACTCCACAGAACAGGTTATCTGGAGCATTATTTACTATGTTGATTTCATATATGTGCATCCATCACAAACGTCTTTGTCAAAAGTTATTTTGGAAGTTAACAAAACACAAATATCATAACAGAATGGATGAGTTCTCAAAATGAACTTGTATGCAAGGACTTACAAAACAACCTCAGTTATCATGTTCAAGGAATTCAGTGAAGTACAAAAATGTGAAATATTCACATATGACAACTTTTAAAGACACAGCTTATGTTTCATTACTTGAACCAAGTTTACCCAGAAAATATATAATAATTCCAAGACACACCCATGTGATTTCCCAGACACACCCATGTGATTTCCCAGACACACCCATGTGATTTCCCAGACACACCCATGTGATTTCCCAGGCACACCCATGTGATTTCCCAGACACACCCATGTGATTTCCCAGACACACCCATGTGATTTCCTGGACATGCACACATTATGGCAAGGCATCTACTTTAAGTCATTTCTTCGTCTTATAGTTGATATACAGCACATGCTGGAAACTACATGTACCAATGTCCTTGAAACCCGAATGACTACTTAATGATGGTATATTGGCTTGAGCCTGAGAACTTGAAGAACTATCTGGAAATCTTGTAAGGGGCATTAAGTGTGAATTACAAAATCCCTCCCAACTGAAAGATTTGGATGTTTTTACATCCCTGGTGTAAACCAAACAAACAAATTTAAGTGGAATTGCACACATATGTCTGAGTGTGTGTAGCTGATACAATTTTGCTATGTTCATTGTAACAAACAAGAAATGTCTACAAAACTTGAAACAACAAGCTCATAAATGTGAACAACTTTCCAAGTTGGGATATTCAAAATGAAGATAAAAAACATAAATCAAAACACATAGACCAGCAACTACTTCTTGACATGGCAGCTCACAACGCCCAAACATTGTACAATTATGTCCAGAATGCTAGGTTAATTTTGGCTGCATCTGTTCAAAGTTTTAAGGGAATTAAGAGCTTTCTCAGAACTGTTTTTAATGGAGGGAGGTGCCTCAATCAACATCAAACATGTTCAGTAGCTGAGTATTTTAGTAAATGAACAAGAAAATGGCCATGATGCTAATCACAAACTTCGCACAGAACAAATAGATGAAATATATTCCACACCACACTTTACTGTTACCCTATATTTTAAAGTGCACACAGGACCTTACAGTTTATGTGAAGTTAAACATAAACCAATGTAGGAGACACACCATCCTGTTAATGGAAGGAAACATCCTTGTTTGAGTGGCATTTTTAGAAGTTGAGACGTACAATATGGAACACGTTTTTATGGATAACAACTTCTTTATTTCGTGAGTGCGACGTTTCGATACAGATTCTTGTACCGTTGTCAAGCAAAGAGTGATACATGAAGTGGAGGAGCTGCATATATATACTGTATATAACAATGAAACAACATACATTGTAATTGACAAAGGAAACAACATAATTGCCATAATTGGTTAAGCAGTAAGCTGATGAAGCCAGTGAGTACACAAAGGAAACATCCTGCAAACTGGATTCAAGCTGCTCAAACACTAATCACACAAATCTTAAGATGTAATAACTGCCAGAATGACACAGAGACAGTCTCAGTTTTACAGAGCACTCTTAATACAACATCTGGCCCTGTAATGTCAGGGTACCAGAGGACAGAGCATGATCCCCGTGTCATCAATCAGTCCTACCACTCTGGGGTATGTCCACAAAGAAAGACATATTCAACTTGATATATTGTACCAGTTTATTACACACAAGTAATTATGGGACTGTTCCATTCTTTTGGCCTTACAATTATCAAATCAACGTTACAATAAGTTACAACAGTCATAGCATGAAGACCACATTGTGGAAGAGGCCTGATCTGTATGTATGTATGTATGTATGTATGTATGTAAGTATATGTGTGTATTTCACTCTACCCTCAAACAATCCAGTGATCGATATAATGAACAACAATCCATGTTGTTTGGCTAAGCTAACAAGCAATCAACCAGATTATCAGTACTGCCACAACTTTTTCTATAACAGGGTCAGATGAAAAAGGTTTCTTTCACAATACAACTTTGAAGTACATACACAAGTCAGGATTACCAACTCTGTATAAGATAAAGCATGGTTTACTGTTAAGTCTGTGATTATGAATTCTAATATACACAAATATACACTTGATTTTTACCTTATATGACGTCCCTCGATCTTCACATTGTTCCTTCTTACACTGTTGACAGCATCCATCAGTTGATTTGGCAAGGGTTTGGCCCTGAAATCAATAGGAATATATAGAGGATATGAGTACCCATGTCAAACTGTTTACTACACAAGTGCCTAAATGTTCGTATTTCACGAGTGATAGCGAGGGATATACCGATATTTAGGCACAAGTGTCGTAAACATAGTATCATATGGGCACGAAATGATATTCTGTTTATTACCGAAGTTGTCAAATTGAGGAAAATAAACCCAAATCTACTTTCAAACATAGGTTGGCCACCCGTCATCGCCGCACGTAGCACGTAAGACGCAACGTCATAGAAGACGCTTTATTGGGATTACACTTTCTTAGTAAAGTACAGATTCTAGTACTTTTTGGGTTGACCAAATCCCCAAAGTACTAGAATCTGTACTTTACTAAGAAAGTGTAATCCCAAATATAACATATGTTACGTTAGACACATTCCTTCTAAAATAAACTGTAGATATGTGCAGATGCTGACAATGATAAAAGTAAATAACAATAAAAACTCATGCCAACAGATTAAAACATGAAATTTCAATAAACCATTAGTTGAAAACAATTTGGGAACTAATTTCATCATTTTTCTTACCAAAACATGATAGATTAATTTGAAGTGTTCAATAAATTGGGACTAGTACCTGGAATATGCTGATTATCCATGCCATACAAAGTTATGTATATGATGTGCATGTTAACAGTGAAACATCTAAACATCCCAATCAACATTTGAGTAGTATGAGATAAAACTAAAGACACAAAGTTGCGTGTATGAATTAAGTTATTGTGTTACATTTAAAAACACAAGAGTGAATAGAAATAGTTCCCTGTCAACTTTGTTTTATGCTATGTGTAACTTGTTTTGTTATGTCTCTCACCCTTCCTGACATTCACGCATGTGTTTGTATATCTGATCTAATCTGGCCTTATCAGCTTCACCCCTGACTGCCACTTGATGCAAACACAGGCTGCCTCCATAGAATTAGCTATTTTTTCTCTGCATCTCTATGTTATATGTGTCTAATAGACTTTATCTCCATATCAAACCTTACAGAAATGTATTGCAGGAACAAGGAATACTGTATTAGCAGGTCTCTTTCCTTCTACTCCCTGGTGTGTTATTACTTGTATCTACTATATATGTAATCAGGGGTGGAAATAACTTTAAAATTGCTAGTGTACTCCGGAACAGTGGCACATGTAAAATCACTTGCCCTGATAATTTTTCCGCTATACCGGCCGTTTCTTGTTGATTTTTAAATAAACAACATAATTAACATTGGAAAGTCAACCGGTACAGTGTGATATACAAATTTGCTTGCCCGACAGAAAAAAACACTGGCCTCGGACGTCGGGCAATGGGTTATTTCCACCCCTGTGTAATATTGATAGAAGACATTGCATATTTTCTGGTGAATACGGGAACTAACAGTAATCCATTTGATTGGCTGATGTTTGTTAGTTGTTTAAATAACTCTGCACTCAGCAATATTCCAGCAACATGATGGCAGTCTGTGAATACGCTTATCTGTAACGTCAATTGATTGATATTAAGATCCATTGACATACAGTCAACCATGACATTAAGCATAACTTGAACTACAAATGTTGGTTACTGAAGACATATTCTAATCCAGAATTTCCACAAGTTTGAATAAATAAACTCTTTTCAATTTAAATTGCAACAACTGAATAGAAATCATGCAAGTTTTCTCATCTTTCTCCCCTAACACATTTCCTTGCTTGATATGAATGTGGCATCCCCTTGTTAATCATTGAAATGAAGAAGCTGAATCCTTCCCCGTGTGCTGGAACTTCAGTTCCATGAGAAAGTTCACTTCCCATACCTCCTCCTTCCTCGACATTGTGTCCAAAACAAACAGAATGCCAACCATTCTTCCCTTGACATTCATCTGCTTTGTCAAATAAAAACACCCTACATTTCTATCAGATAGCATGCTCTGCTCTTAACATCAATTATTACATATCAGATACTTGGTATTCCTGATTTCCAAGCAAACAAACACAATGCTGGTAAACCATGTTGTATTGCTGTGCTTGTTGTTGTAGGCTCCACATGAGAGGGTGTGAAAGCACCACCCAGGAGGATGACATTGTGAAGCAGGTTGGGTGAGTGAGAACAGCAGCTGCTCAGACTGAACAGCGGGCATAACAACTGTACACATCAGGAAACATTGTTGACATGTTTGTTTACACAGAAAGAGTTATGTAATTCATTAGCAACAGACTGAAGGCAATTCAGACTTAGACCAGATCCCCAAGTGAATCAGTGACTTGGTCATAATAACAATCACAGGTTTGTCTGTCCCAGACTTGATACTTTACAGGCATTGGTCATAAGAAGAAAGAAGTAAGTAAGAAGTAAGAAAACCCAATCTAAGGCAACCTGGAAGAAACAAATCAAGGAAATATATAGCTTTCTTCACTACAGTGATAGGAATCATGACTTTATGTGTCTATACCAAAGAGTGACAAAGGATCCACTTAGACGATACTGCAAAAAGGTGTGCTGCCACATACCTGGGAGAGAGAACACAATGACTGTACTTGCAACAGGGTCTACAAAATTTGGACATTGCTGTAGTTAGCTATTCAAAAATGGACCTGATCAGACAAATATGTGTGATTTTATGAAAAAAAGAGAGTCAGAATTCTTGGATATATCAAGTAAGATCAAGGGTAATAAATCAATTCTTACACAAGTTTGATAAAAAATCTGTAGGACACACATTTAAGTGTAATAGGTTCTTTATTTCCCATTACTTCCTCATCCCCTTTTTGAGCTCCCCTTCATAAACAGGGATCCATCATTACTGTTCATTTTAGAAACCACAATACTTGAATGATGTCAACAAACTTCAACATGACATCATCTCTGGTGTGATGTCTTTCTGACCTTATGTTGCAGTGAGGTGATGGGAGGTGAAATTGGGTTTAACGTCGCGCTGGAGATATTTAGCTCATATGACCACGTGCATGCGTGTGTATGTGTATGTGCGGCTGCTTGTACTAGCCCAGACTGAAGCTGGTTTTATAGTGCTAGCCCACTGAGATACCATGCCGCAGTGAAGCATGAATACCCCACTCAGACACATTATACTGACTATGAGCCAACTAGTCCTTGTTGTACCCATCAATGCCGAGAGCCAAGCAGGGACCAACAAGTACCATATTTTAACGTCTTTTGGTATGACGCGGTCGGGGATTGAACCCACCTTCACCTTCAGCGCTCTAACCACTACGGGCGGAGGCAGTCTAACCACTGCACCACGAGTGAGAGGAGTGTCTTATGTGAGTGAGTGAGTGAGTGAGTGAGTGAGTGAGTGAGTGAGTGAGTGAGTGAGTGAGTGAGTGAGTGAGTGAGTGAGTGAGTGAGTGAGTGAGTGAGTGAGTTTAGTTTCACGCAGCATTCAGCAATATTCCAGCTATATGGTGGCCGTCTGTAAATAATCGAGTCTGGACCAGACAATCCAGTGATCAACAGCATGAGCATTGATCTACGCAGTTGGTAACCAAGTCAGCCAGCCCGACCACCCGATCCCGTTAGTCGCCTCTAACGACAAGCATGGGTTACTGAAGATCAATATTCTAACCCAGATCTTCACGGGTCCCTTATGTTGCAACAAGTTTCAAATGACATCAACAATGGCATGTGTGAAGTGATAATTGCCCTAGTGCACATCTGATTGTTATGAAGTCCGTTATTTCTAACCTGTGGATAATGATATGAGATAATCCAATATAAAGGCTGTTAAAAACCAGGTTAAACATCATGGCAACAACAGCTTACAGGTGTTAATTTTGAAGGACTACTTCTCCACATACAACCAAACCTAATTCTTCACATAGAACCTAACCACACCTCCAAGGTGAAGGCATCTCTTCATCTGGTATGCATGTTATTATGTTTATTTACTCATAGCATGAAATCAAAGAAAGAGAAAGATTCTGTCAGACAAGACATAAACTTTGTGTCATAGATCTAAGCTATGCTGGAGAAAGCAGCCTTGGTTCACTCAACAGTTGCTCAGATCTCCTTTCATGTCCTTTATGTTTTCAGATTCATGACCATCTGTATAAAATAGACCTTCTCAGATCTACTCTTAGTGCCAGTGGGTGACTTTGTGAGGCTTTTTTGAAGGCAGCAACTGGTTTGTAGTAAGTGAAGAACAAGAATAGGGAGAAGTTTATTGGCACAGTGGCCTCAGACCCACTAAACATTTTAAGACCAAAAATATAACCAAACATACTGACAAAAACATCTAATTGCATTACAAAACATGTTCTTTTTTTCACAAGCGTAACATATGATATGTGATAAATCTTGAAGGAATTTTATTACACTGGTTGTAAGGATAAATCTAATACATGACTAATTCTGTGAGCCAAGGAGTATCAATGGGTATATGCTGCCATCATTAAAACTGATAAAGCAAGAAAATTCTAAAGGAATTCTGCAGCCTCATATATGTACAGCTGGTTTGAAATGTGAAACTGCATGAATCTAAAGTCCATAAATAAGGAGTAATTTCACTGTCTACATCCTTCCTATCAGCAATTCTCCTACCTACAGTGCTCCCCAACGGTGATAAACATTTGTAACTTCCTGCAGAGCTTTTTTTCCTTTAAAAATCACCTCAGAAAATAAACTGTAAGGACTAATTGGTTAATAATTGGGTTGCAAAGACCAGACTGGCTCAGAATGTTGCAATATTCCCTCACGGCAGCACCAAGATAACTCCTGGCGATGGCCCAGAAGCAGACAGCAGTTGGCAGCCATTTGCAGTGACTGATTACAGTGGTACAAACAACTGACAAAGGATCCACTTAGACGATACTGCAAAAAGGTGTGCTGCCGCATACCTGGGGAGGGAACACGATGACTGTACTTGGAACAGGGTCTAAAAATTGGGACATTGCTGTAGTTAGTTATTCCAAAATTATTCACTTCAGGTTTTGTAGTTGCTCATTAAGACTAAGTCCAAGGTTCAATTTTCCCCATTGGT